CAACTAACCTTGATATATCTATACATCATATACTATGCTGTTGTTTTTCCCTATTTTCAGTTTTTAAAACATTTTTTAACGATTTGGTGAGTGTTTCTGCATGAGAAATGCCCAAAATCATCAACTCTGAAGGCTGATTTCTCAAATTTTTTTCTTATAAACAGCTGTATGTTTAAACACTTGTAACTTTATAAGGATGTCAGATCTGAATGATTTTTTACCATTTTATAGTTCTCATTTTACTGTTTTAATACTGTATTAACAACTAAAAATCAATTTTTTCAACGAGTGACTGGTTTGGTTTGTCTTTGCCACATGGCAACAAAAAAGATGATGAAAAAAGAGGAGAAGGAAGCAATGATGATGATAATGGTGACAATGATGAGATTGATAATTTTGTTTGATAATAAACAATGAAACTACATGTGACTTTACATTATATATCTAAACTAATTTGAACACACCTAAAACAGTAATTTAATCTATTTATACACGCAAGTCTTACGACCTGTGAATGGATCTACTAAGCGACCTAAGCCACCAAAGTCAGGAAGAAAGAGGCAAAAAAAGCACCGCTGTGGCCATATGAAAGGCATGTTATTGAGTGTAGCACGTGACAAATTTACATATCTATTATCTTGTCAAAATATTCATTGTGAACGTACTGTGTATGTTGGATCAACGCTCTGAGCAAATCCCTCATAAAAATTGGTAATAATAATCGCTCTTGAGAAATAACATAAATATCCAAACAATTGTTATAACAAGCATATTTTGTAATTTTTTGACAAGGTGAAATAATATGTTATGTATCTATTTATTGGTTAATACAATGTTGTTATACCTGTATGTTTTTTTTTACCATTTTAACTATTTTAATATTGTCATAGCCATTCCACTGAGTAACCTTAGGCAATCCATAGACCAGATTTGGGATTTTACTTCAGCAAGAACTAATAAATAACTAATTGCTTATTAACAAGTATATTTTATGTCGCATGTAGCTACTCAGGGCCAAATCCCGGATTGCCACTGTAGGTTGGTTGGGTAGGCCTACAGTATGTACCCATCACACCCTTGGATAAAGGCCTGCCATTGTTACCTATTATCAGTGCGTATCAATATTAGGCTTTTCGTCTTGTTTGGTATTAAACCTTGTGGTTATTTTTTGTTAACCGTTGTTATATTTTGTGATTAATGATGTGATTTTTGTAGGAATATTATTTTAAACTTGTGCAATATTTACCTATTTTATTATTTATTATACATAATTGCTAAATTGAAACATGACCTGGCATATTGATACAACATGATTTCTTCAATTACAAGAATTAACCTAATTTTTATATTAGAGGAGGTACTGTAATGATAATGATTATGAAAATACATTTTGTGTTTAAATAATCCTTTATATTTTAAATACATTGATAATAGAATATTTGTATACTTGTATTTCTAACTAATAATTGAGACAAGATAAAGCAGGTCCTAATGGCAACAATAAACTATATTGCTTCGTTAGATACACGATGAAGTCGGCCATGCCAAAATCAATTCTAATTTGATTGCCAAGTCGGAAGCTTTATCTACACACTTTAGTATTACAAATATTTGTGACATCATCATGCCTACATGATGATGTCATGAACATTAATTTTAATGTACTGTATTGTATTTTGAAAATAACTAATATCTTTTTTTTTTTTTAAATATAATATCTAATAATTTAAATTGTTTTTTTTTTTTTTAAATTTAATTTCATCTTCAGGTTTACACAATCCAAAGGATTGCGAACGATACATCAAGTACCTATTGGGAGAACGCCAACGTCAGTTTGAAGTAGACCCAAGAATATGGCGTAATCCGCCAAGGATTGCCCCTAGAGGGCGCTATTATCACAAGCGAGACAAGACAGTCGACTATGAATCAGAGGAAGATGATGCTGATGTACAGTCAGAACCTCCGCAAAGGTGAAATAATTACAAGTTTGAAAGTAAATTTTTGTATAGATTTTATACAATATAATTTTGGAAAGTTCAGAGTAGTGTGCCTACGGTAGGCCTATGTATAGTATTCACAAATTTCAATGATTATAGGGCCAGGAGTGTATGTTTCATATTTTATTTAATCACCAGATCATAATACTGATAATGATGACAATGATAATATATAATAACAGTGATTGAAAATGTAATAATAATAATAATGATAATTTGATAATTTATATTTTCTGCATTGCAGACGGCCACAAACAGCTGTTTCTTCCTCTGGGTATGGAAGGCCAAGTACATCAAAAACTCCATCAAAGCCAAGTATGTTTTTGTTTAACTTAGAGCTAATAGCAAATAAATATTCAAGGTTTTGTAATTGGGTCATTCCGGCTCAAATCAACCAGAAATTTAAAAGTGCCCATGTGACATCCCCCTAACCTGGGATTTTCCTTTAAAAAATTCTAAAAATACCTTGATATGTCAAAAGAGAATCTAAAATTTCAGATTCAATTTCCATGTGGTTTCAAGTTATGACCATTTGAAATTTAGGGACCACGCCCCTTTTTTTCATTCCGGCGGTAATGGCTCCACTAACTTGTATGGTTTTTACATAGCTATATTATAATACCTCCATGTTTGAATCAATTTAAGTGTGCTATTGCTGACCCATTCACTATAATAAGTCTATTATTTACCTTATTTAATTTTATTGCGGGTTTTTGTCTTCAAAGACGAGCCAAACCAGTCACTCGTTGCAAAAATCAATTTTTAGTTATTAATACAATGAATCATTCATCACAGTAGAAGAATCATTAATCCGAAATTTCGTTATAACGTTACAAGTGTTTAAACATACAGCTGTTTAAAGAACAATATTTGAGAAATCAACCTCCAAAGTTTATGGTTTTGGGCATTTCTCAGGCAGACACCATCAGTAAATCGTTAAAAATTGTAGTTTTTAATATTGAAAATCGGGAAAATAACAGCATAGCATGATATATGATATATGAAAGGTTAGTTTAAGTTGTAATAAAATATTTTCAAAAATTTTGACATTCCAGCATAGGCCATTATCTCTGAAACAGGATTTGTGACAAGTGACTGGTTTGGCTTGTCTTTGCCACTTTATTGTTTCTTTTCAATATAGATTTTACATTATTATTTTATATTTTAAATTATAATATATCCTATCTTATATATTTAATTCCCATCCTGTCATTGGTGTTTTACACTGTTGGATGCAATAATGAGAAATAATACTATGTTTAAATTTTTTTTTTTTTTAATTCATTCATAGCTTACGAAAAAAGATTTCCTTCTGGACAACCTACGGATCAGCAATTGTACTATGACACAAAAGTCAGGCAACTGAAATCTCCAGATCAGAGAGAAAAAGATGAAGAAAAAAAGAAAAAGGAGAGAAAAAAGAAGAAGCGAGAGCGATCAAAGAAAAGAGATAAAACGGAACAAAACACTACAAAGAAATATCCTAGTGAGGCTCAAGATTCTGAGGACAATTCATTGGAAAAGAAGGAAGGTAATTCCAAAGAGAAAGAACATAGTGAATATAAAAATAATACTGAAGAAAATGTTGAATCACAGAAAAGAGAAATCCGCAAGAAACCAAGTAGGACTGTAAAGAAAGATAGCCCTAGAAGAGAATCGATCAAAAACTCTAAAGGAAAAGCAAATCCAAAGGAAGATGGTAATACAAAACAGGTAAAGTCTCGACGAAGATCAATTAAGAAAGACAAATCTCCAAAAGAGCTTGAAAAGGAGGCTTTGAATGAGAACAAGGATGCAGATAGTAGAGCTATTGAAACAGTTAAACAGAACAATGACCATGAAAACGCTTTAGACAAGGATGAAATCACACCTGCCTTTAATGATCAACCTTCAGATGAGGAACCAGTTGATAATACAACAGAATTTAACAGCCAAGTTCAGATATTTGTTGGAGAGGAACCAGACGAAGACTTTGATAAGGAGGAGGAGGATGAACTAGGGGAATTTATGTTTGAAAACAGATTACGGCAGCAAAAACCAGACGATACTATCTCTGTATACTCATCATTCTCTGTTGATATGGCGATTACAAAGACGCCAGCACCATCAGAGCTGGAATACTAATACTTTAAGTCTGTGGTATTCCTAGATTTATGATCTTAACCAGAATATAATATTTTTTAAGCAAAAATTGCAACACTAAAAGAAATGAAAGTTGATGGTTTCGTCAATTGTGTGTGCCACCTCTGATTGAATGGAACACATCACATTTAGCTGTAGCTTCACCTGAAATTTGTTATTCTCAGAATATTTACCTTTGCCATTGTATTCATCCACTGTCTGTCTGTTCATCACCTTTACACAGTTAATATTTAGAAGTACAGTTAACCTTGCCTAAGTCAACATTTCCTAACTCGAATAATTTCTAAGTTGATTTTATTTTAGGCCCAAAAAAAAAAAAAAAAAAATTTTGTGTAGGCCAATCTAAAATATCTGTAGGAAAATTTTTACTTAAACCAAAAATGTGTTTCCGCTTAAAAAAATAGCAAATACACAGGTAATACAACAATTTTGAATTTGTATCGCATCCATGCAACAAAATAGGTTAGGCCTTGCCCCCCCTAGCTAGTCTAGTCCAAGGCAATTCTGACCTTATTAGCTCATTAAAAAACAAATATTGTTCCTTGTAGTCAAAAAAAAAAAAAAAAAAACATCTAAAATGCCAACCCTGACTTTTGTAAAATTTAATTCGGTCGGGCGTGGCCAACACAATAATTTTTTTTATTTGGCCTTACATGCGAAATTGTTGGGTTTTCCATTAATTAAGAATCTGTAAGTCGAATCTTATCTTAGTCGAACAGTTTTTCAATGCACTTTTGAATTTGACTTAGGCAAGTTCAACTGTATATATGTATATATATATATATATATTAAATATATATACCTCACACCAAGTCTAATATATTTGTATTAAAATATGTTTATTAGCCACTTCTTTTATTTGTTTGCTTGGAATAATAACTATGGTAATACAGCTATTTATACTTTATTACTGATTCATATCTTCAATTAAGTCAAATATTACCTTGTTTGTTAGCACTGAAAAAATTCATACCTTTTGTTTTTCAAAAAGGCCTTCTCGCATCAGGTACATCCTGGGGTAGTTTGACATGTTTTTCTAAGTAAACATTATTGAAATGAGTAAATTGTGATATGTAATTTTTAAAATATAATTAATAATTTTACCATCATGTTTTATCATTTAAAAATGAATGTAAATAATCTAATTTGTATTTAAATTTCAAATTCTTTCAAAAAAACATGTAATTTAAAAATTGCTAAAATATTAAATAATTAAATAATCTCTGGATATATTTTCTAGTTAACATGTTTATTCATATAAGGCATCTCAGTCCAGTAATTATGCACAAAATGTTCAAGTTATAGGTATTGATTTAGTACCAAGATATTTTCTAGATATTTTTTATTGTCTCATAAGATGGAAGATAATTTTGAACATAAAAAAAATAGCTAAATTACAAAAGCTAAGGGATTTCTAAAAAAATGTTACAGATACATTTACATATTTGAAAATCATATTTTGTAAAGCAAAATATATTTGAAGGTAATCCCTGAATGTTACACTACATAAAGTGACGTTTTTAAAAATTTGGAATAAGACGGCATCAAATGTTTTATTAATTAAATTCTTTGTCTAATGAGATCATTAATTTGAGCCCACAATTATTCTTCTGTATTTGGAAAATCTAAGTATCCTGAATACTATCGTATAATTCGCTAGTGTGTTGTTGGTATCATATACAGTATGCTTGATCGCAGTGCAGGTATCAAAATATTAAATGTTTTCATTTCAGTTATTGATTTCTTATATGATAGAATATTTAAGTGGCTGTTTAGGAATTGATCGTCATGGAAATGAAAGAGGTTACATCAACTCTGTTGCAATATATTTCTCATTGACTTTTGACTTTTATTTCTTTATAGAAATATGTATTAAACAATTTTTTGTTATTGTCTGGTTGAGAAATTTGATTGTCCATATTTACCATAATATGATAATGAGGCAGACATAGATATGTTAATAATAGCTGTTCTATTACTTATTATTTACTTATTATTATTATTTGCTTTTGCGGCAAAGATAAGCTTAAAGGCTGCTTTACAATAGGCGAATTTATATGTGTTATTCAAAAGCATCGATTCAATTCCTGAACTCTGATGTTTGTGCATTTTTTCACTTCGCAAAAAGTAGGAACAGTTCGAAATACTGATTTCGCTGAAGGAAAAACATGTATAGAAATGTGAATGGGCATAAACCAACACTTTTGATTAATGCAAATAAATTTGCCTAGTGGAAAACAGTCTCTAAGCTCAATACTGTACACTATAACACATTCCACATGGAAAATGTTTGGTAGGCAGATTTGAAGCGCCATGAGCATCGGTCTCAAGATGTGCTATAATAAGGTGGTCATTTATCATTATATCTTTACACTCTGTCCATGCTATTATTCTCTAATAAATGGTCTATAAGGTGTATGCAACAAATATCTGTAATTGGCCCATATAAGTTTGTGATGACATCACCATGTCCGTATATGCGAAAATTATAGATATTTGTCACATAAAACTAGTGAGCACAAGACCACATTTCCATCTTGATATACTATTGTTTTGGATGCAGAAATAAAATAGTGGTCAAATGTCTTGGATTATTGTGTATTTTATTTCCAGTCATACAACACATTGTAGTTTTGGAATATACATTTATTCACATATTCTAATTCAAGATAATACCAGGTTATACAAAAATCTCTCTAAAACCCTGAATTGGGGAGAAAATATAAGAGAAATAGAATGACAATCTCGGGTAACAATAACTGATGGTGGAGCATATTTTATAAGCCTATGTCATCAACGTCCGTATTCTACAATGCATGCCTGCTTGGGAAATCCAGGGCATAACTAATTCTTGAGTACTGCCGTTATTAATTGAAGTGTTTGGTTATCTAAACACAATTTTAGAGTATATACTTCCACTAAATATGTTGTCATTTTTGTAGTGAAATGTGTATTTTTTCTATTATTATTTTATCACACAATTACCACATTTCAACATAAAAATAATATAAAATTAATTACAATATAATTTAAAATAAAACATGATTTGACTGATTATTAAGGTACAAGAATAATTCTGGAATGCTTTAGTTTTTTGGGGTTCAATTATCAGAGAAGAAATTATAAACTCTGAGAAACAATTGATTAAAAAAGTGTGAAGACTGATCAAAAATCTAACTTTATCTTTAAAAATGTTAATATAGTAAATTGTCACAATCTATATAATATTGGCATTTCTTTGTATTAGAGGAAATATCAGATAAGTTATTTTTACACAAAACATGCCTATCAAAATTAGTATACATACAGCTTTGATAAATTATGTATTATTTTATTCATCTGGCATCATGAACAGTCAAGAAAATAAACTTCAAAAAAATAATAAAATATAAACCAGGCATCAAATTAAAATAAGAAACATGCAAGGAAAAGTTGGATGTGTTACTCCATAGCCTTTCAACTATAAGGCAGTTATGAATTTAAACTTAAAAGGATAGAAATTTAAAAAAAAAAAAAGAAAAAAAAGAGCAATGATTTACAATTTAAAAAAACGAAGCATTAGAGATTCTTTTTGAAGACTTTAAAATTATAACGAACAAAAGAACATTACTAGTAAATATTGATTAAAACTACAAAATTACATCGGCCACTTTGACCACGTGCTAATAATAATATATACATAAATACCCACAAAAGGATAATTATTTATTTGAATATTCCATTCATGGAAATTCAACACAGAGCACCTTGTGGATGAGATACATGCGGACAGTTTTTAGTATATTGTACTAAAGTGGTTTTAAACATTTTAAAGATATACCTTAAACTTTGTAAGGGGAAGCAGGCTTATTCACAAGAAACACCTTTTACGAAAGCTGAATTGATTTATCTGACAGAGAAAGCGCTTTGAGACTGCGCTATACAAAAACTGATTATTATTTATTATTAATAATAATAAAGAAAAGTTTGATATACAAATATATGTACGGTAAAGTTTATGAGTGCATTTAATCAACTCTATAGTGACAAAAGGAGGAGGGAGCATTCATTTCAAATTAAAGTTACAGCATTATTTCTGACTGAAAATAAGTTTACAATTATAGTATCTTGTCAACTCTATAGTGAGAAAATCAGCAGCTATGCAAGAAATATGAAGTCACCTTTAAATCAAAGTTTAAATATTTCTGGTTGATACATTAAAAAAAAACTTAATAAAGAATGTTTTAGCTGGGAAAAAATTACTCATTTTATGTTGATCCTGCATACACAATCAATATTTCCCATTTTCACCCCTTAAAGTTTTAAATACTGTAGAGTATTCTATCTGCCTGGCATGATTTCATATTGAAGTATCTATGGTCTTATACTTGTGTTTGTATTCAACAACTAATAAAAGATTCAGTTTTTCTTGTACTCTATCCTTTCAACTTTGACATCGTCTCCTATGAGTTGATAAACGTATGTTACCACGGTTGCGGCTTGAATATCCAGTAGTACGAAAGCTGGTACAATATTACTAAAATGAGAACAAATGAGGGCGCTATTCAAAATCAGATGATTTTGTGAACACACCAATCCCAGAATCCCTATCATGATAATCATCATTGTTATAATACCACTGACCAGTATCATTTCCATATTATTTTTCAATAGTACCATAATAATGTATTATTAATATTGCTAATGCTTAATATGCATCTTCAAGACATAATCCCCAATCAGATTGGATTCATCACCAATTCTCATAGTAATTTTTTTATCATCCTATGTATGATCACCTTCATCCTTCTAACCATAAATATTCTCATCTTCACCATTCTCCTCTTCTTCATTATCTCCATCATCCTCCACATCATCACCACTTCGAGTATCCTCCTCATCATCTTCACTAGCATTCCCCTCATCATCTCCTCACCATCATTCTCATTTTCCTCAACATCCTTTTATCATCACTATTTTTCCCATCATCATCATTATCCTCATCCTACACACTGAACATTGCTTTTAATTGCATACCTTTCCAGTGCATTGTATGCACCTGTTGCAGAACCAGGATTGATGTAAAATTTATTTTCATGCTCAAAAGCTTCAAATTTGTGGGTGTGGCCTGAGATGAGTATGTCAACATCCAACTGCCTCTGTACCATAGCTAAGCTGTCAATATCACCCCAGGGGACTACCTGGTGACCATGACAAATACCAATACGGAACTGGCCAACAGTCACTACCTTCTGCTCTGGATATGTTATGTTCTATAAAAAGAAATAAATTTATGAATCCTACAATAATTACATGGTTACTCATCATAACAAACTTGGAAATCTCAGTAAAAAATCAACAGTTTTGTTTACAAATATCCAGATTTTAGGTAAAATGTTTACTTTTTTTCAAGGTTTAAAAATAACTATATAATAATAATATTAATTTATTTATATCAACCCAAATAAAACAACAAATAATTTATATGGCTATATTAATAACAATTTAATTAATACTAATAATATTATATAATTACCTCATCAAAATCTCCTCTGACAACATGCACATCACTGGCTAGAGTTTTAAGGTAGTCATATGATTCTTTTGTACATAGGTTGCCTGTGCACAAGATGTGTTGTACTCGCCCAGGGACCAGTAGATTCTTAAACTTGTCAGGCAAGTTGCTTTTACGATGAGGAATGTGCAGATCTCCAAGCACTAACACCAACTATTGAGAAAGAATTTATCAGGTTTAGTGTAGTTCCACAATAATAATAATCAGCTTTATTTTACATGGGAAAACTTGTTTCAACAATAGTTGTTCTTCTACAAGTCCTTGAAGGATAAACAAAAAATTTACAAATTAAATAACAATTTGAAAGCAAGTAAAAAAACAGTAAACTTTAACAACTGTACAAAACTTAAAAATACATTTTATAAACAATTATTGTGTATGGGACTGTTGACATTCTGTAACCAGGACCCTCCCGAAACCCAGACCCCTAGCGGCTCTACCGCAGATACCTCACAACCTGGACATTTCGAGACTTGAAATGCCTTGGTTACGAAAAGTCCAGGCTGTGTACCTGCAGCAGAGCGTCACGAAACATCCAGGTTACAAAATGTCTGCCACCCATTTACACGATAAAAAGATAATGTAAAAAAATGATCAAAAAGTTACTTACTGTACTTAAAAACTAAACTTAAAATCAAAATCATAATAGCTAATTATAGGAAACAGAAATACAATATCACAATGGATGAATGAAAAGTAGATGTTTACATTGTAGCAATAAACATACATATATTTTTTTTTAACTGACATTAATAAAAATCTTTGAGGTCTTCACTAATATCATTCCAGATTTTTGTACCCCTATATGATAGCTTAATTCTTATACTCAGTTCTTGGTTTTGTTAATAATAATTTTGTTTGATATCTAATATTGTAATAATTATCATTATTATTATTATTATTATTATTATTATTATTTGCATAAATTAGTAAACAAATAGATTATGAGCAGTCTTTGGTCTAAGTTCAACCATTAAAAGGCTTTGCAGAGCTAGTCGCTTCTTGATGTTTTTGTAATTTCATTTTTAGCTGCCCAGTTTTGAAGAATTTTGAGCTTTTTGCTTGAATTTTATTTGAATGTCCCCATATGACATGACAACAATCAAGATTGGGAGTTATAAATGATTTATATAATAGTTTGCTTGAACATCTCGTCTCCATACGTTGAGCTAAGTAGCCTCCCCCTACGATTGTTTACAAAAAATCTATCACCCATTCATACCAATCGACCACACCACTTTGATTACTGTAAGAAATTTGCTCTGCACAATTTAATTACATCAAAATAGATAGGCCTATCCCTAAATTTTTAATTGGATCTGATTTGAGGGCGAATGTTAACGAAACAGCAGAAGCTTCTCTTGTAGTACAAAACCTGCACTGGACTGGATATCCATACAATAACTCATTCATGGAAGTAAATTAGGCACCTGCCAGGGGCGCCCTAGTCCTGTTCTGGTAATAAAATGTAGACCTTGGCCTAGTTCAGCTAGTTAGGCTAGGATAGAACCAGTGCAAAGTGGGCGTTTCATCAGGTAAAACCGGTACACTGACGTTAGCCAGCCTACGTTTGGTGAGAATGACAGGCCTAGCCTTACCGGTTTTATCAACATTATTAATAAAGACCTACCATTTTTTCGTGAAAACTATTGGTAGCAAAGGTTAGACAAACAACTATTTTTAGTATAAAATGTAGAAAAGTTCACGTTTTTTAATCTGGAAGGCTATTTATAACGATTGGATTACAGGTTACTTGAGATTTGGTGTTGACTTGCGCTCGTGACTTCTGCAAGAGCGCCCTCTCCACTTGTGAAAGTTATTTGCTTACGAAAAATAGAGGTGAACTCATTGAGCGGGTGTGATTAAAATGAAGTGTGTTATTCCTGGTGCAAACGTGAAAAGTAAATTAAATTTGTATTTTTTTAGCAGTTATGTTTGTAAAATAATTTAAACATCGTAGTTCTTGGTAGCAGATGACTAGTTAGACCCCTACTAGGCTAGCCTTGGCCCTAGGGGCTGGGCCTGCTAGTCTGTGTGTGTGTGTGTGTATGTGCTAGGCTGGCTGCCCTTCCATTTTTATAGGCTAGGCTAGCATCTCGGCTTAGCCTAGGCCTAGACTGTCATCAGGCTAGGCCTAGGTCCATCATCTTTCAGAGTTGCGTGGTAGGCAGCTTGTGGGCATTTCCCAGAACCCTTCTAGTCTTCAAACCAACCTATTTTATTGTTACAGAATAGCTGTAAACACCAAACACTTCAGCACTCTTTCTATCTTCTATTCTAATAGTACTACTACTCTATATGTATCTTGTCTTTTCTTTTTGATAATTTCTATATTTAGGCCTATAAGGCTATGTATGATGTAAATAGCCTATTTCTTCATTAAGAACATGATGTCCAGCTGTCATAATAATAATCAATATGAATTGTATAGCACTCATCCATTTAAAAAGAAGCTCAAGAAGATGCTTGTCCTACTTGTCAACATTACTTGTTAACTTATATTGAAAATATTTTATTAATTTTGACATCATCATGTTCAATTTGTAGTTTTTGGAAGAGCAATTCATTGTCTGGCAAGGATCGGTGACGAACTCTACATAGAACCACTAGAAGAAGGGGTAAGTTAAATGCCTATATAGTCCTAATGCAACTTTTCATTTTGGTTTCTACATTCATATTATTCTTACATGACAATTGCCCTGATATGTTTTTGTATTTATACTATATGCTGAATGTTCAACATGTTTTTGGTCTTTTCCAGCTTGCATTGCGAACAGTTAATACCTCTCGTTCAGCATACGCTTGCTTCATCTTCTCACCAAATTTCTTTAGTGAATATAATGATGGGTGTGGACAATACCAGTCAAACTCAGGAGATGATGATGCTTTCAGGTGTAGAATAACAATGAAGGTTTGGCAAATGAAAATTCATAACATAATAATTTTTAAAATACAGGGTCCCCCACTGAGAAGAGCCCCTCCCCCTTCCTTGTAAGGGACATCAGGCCACTGTTGATCAAATCCTGACAGCACCCCTGTCCACACCACCTCAGCCCCACTGTGGGTAGGCTGACAATGTTTTAGGATTAAGCACCTCTAGATGCTGAAAAATGCCTGTATCAGACAAAATGCTTTTTCAATGCAGTGTTACCCAACGGAAATAATTACAGTACCTTCTTCCCCGATTTTAAGCTAATCAGATAAAACAATTGACAAATATGTTATACTTGAAATATAATTTTCCATAATTTTTTTTTTATTTTAGTCTTGTTTGGCAGTGTTCAAGTCATTAAGTAGTATTGAGAAAAGTGTTGAACGATGTAAAATAGAGCTTTCCATACAAGAGGCCAGGATGGTCTTTCAGTTGTATTGTAAACATGGTAAGGTAGATTTTATTGATAAACACAAATAGAAATTAAGACTAATACTGATTTGAATTCATAAACTAATGCAAAACAATATTTTCATCATTTTACAGGAATTGTTAAGACATACAACCTTACCTACCAGGAAACAGAAACATTACAAGCTGTATTTTCTAAAGATTTATGTCCAAATAAAATAGTAGCAAATTCTAGGTAAGTAATCATATCTAAAATTATAATCATTTAGTGGTATTTCACCTTTGTACCCATGGAAGCACATAGACTGTGGTGCAACTTAACATATAAAAAAAAACAAAAAAAAACTTTAAAACTAAGAATACATTGTTTATGTTGTTTTGAATGTTCTATACAAATGTGTAATTTACTGGCCCCCATCAAAATTCATTTAGGAGCCTTTGTGTAAATAATGGAAGCTCCTTCACAACTATCAGACAAGAATAATGCAAATTTATATTTATAAAAAATTTTTCTTTCTTCCTAAAGAATTTTAAGTGATACAGTGTCAAATTTTCAAACGTCGCTTGAAGAAGTTTCGTTGAATGTCACCCCAGAAGTGATCAGCTTCAAGAATTATGTGGATGACGAACCAGGTGAATAGATTAACAATTTAAGGTGCAGAAGCATTTACAAATCAAGCCAGGCTTTTGGTATTTAGCCTAATTTCAAAGTATTAGTTTGTTTAATTAGTAACTATTTATGGCTGTGTCACCGAAACTACATACATATACTGTATTATTCAATTCCTATTAATTTATTTGTCTTTTTTTTTCTTTTCAGATCCTAGCAAAGTTATGCACACGGAAATGAGTTTAAACCCAGAAGAGTTCCAGAATTACTGTATTGGTGTAGACACTGAGGTGACATTCTGTTTAAAAGAACTTAGGGTGAGACAAACAAGAATAATGATAAACTGCTTTATGTATATATTTTGTTTTGTTTTTTACTCTGTATTCTATTTCTGACATAAATATCAGTACAGCAGTATTGGTTTCATCAGGTTTCTTTTAAACTCTCTTGTTGTCTAGCCATGTCTTACATACAAAAAAATCAGTTACTGTTCTTGCTTGCATGCAGGAGTGCGGAAGGCCATCTCGAGATCCGGGAGTCTCCCACGACTTCCAGGAGACTTGAGGCCCCTGGACATAGAATTCTTGCCTGTAGTGTGACCATTCCGGGCTGAAGTTCATAACCATTAAAAGCCCAAAGTGTTACTGCAGTGCCAGACACACACTCCTACCATCAAGCCTTGAATTGCCATTCAATTTAAAGTTGTAAATTCTTGATTGCTGTATTGCAGGCTATTCTTTCATTCTCTGATGCTACAAGCCTTCCTCTATCAATCCATTTTGAAACCACTGGCAAGTATGTGATATTTCTCAATTTTATTGCTATACATTTTAATAAGAAATATTATTTTATGCATTTTTAATAACTTTAGATTTATTGTATTTTATTATATACAAGTCTCCCTTCAATTAATGACCACTTTTGGTAGCACCTTTGGTTTCTAAATTACCATAGTAAAGATAAACAACATTGCTTAATTTGGAAAATGTGGTCTTTAATTGGAGGTGGTTTTTAATTAGAGTGGTCTTTAAGTAGAGGGAGACCTGTATACTAATTAGACATGTTCCTTTTTAGACCCATAGTTTTCTGTATAGAAAGTGAAGAGGTGGTGGATGCAAGTTTTGTGTTGGCAACCCTTGCTGATCCAGTCCCATCACAGAGTTCACAATCCTACGGATCACAGCTTCAGTCCAGTGGACGAGTCAGTACAGCCAAAAGTCTCAGGTACCAGACTGTAAAGTAGTTTTTTTTTTCCCGAATTTCGAAAACCAATAAAAATTTGCGTGAAAAATCACTAGGAATATAGGTATGCAGAATATTGAAAAATAGGCCAAAGCCTATTTTTTGGCTAAAAATGCACAGAAATCAGCCCTTATTTTCCAAAAGGTGTTGATGGAATTCTAGGCCTAATATTTGCACGAGGGATATATTCCCCGCGCAAGCCTGGCTCAGGTATTGGTTACAGATTCACAAGTTTGATCGACATAGTTGGTCTGCCAAAATGTTCCAATGAATGTAATACTAGATAGCTTCCAGAAGTATGATAGATGAAATTATAATTGAAGATGTTTATATCTTACAGTAAAGTGAATAGAAGCAAGGGACAATATTCAGTTAAAAGGAATAGAGGTGATGCTGGGACATCAACAGGGAATAAATCAAGGTATGTTAGGCAGTACTATAATTTGATTGTACTTTTTTTTCCTACTTTTGTAATATTAGTTAAGTTTGAATTCATTGTACTTTTTATGTTGTGTGTGGAAAAACCAATAAAACAAACAAACAAAACAAACTTTCTGTGATTACACTATGTTCATTCTTTTAAATATCCTGTTAAATTGTACAGGTATACTCTAATTTTAATATGGGGAATTAAAGTTTACGTTGAATTACCTGCAAAAAGCCATAAGGCCCATCACTGAAAGTTATGATGGTGATGGGTGAGTGATGATAATGATGACAGCGGTGATAATGATTATCGACCACATCACTAATCACTTTTCCCAACATCTTGTATTTCCCTCTCCAGGCATAATAACCTGGCTACTTGTGATGCTAGTTTTCCTGACGATGACTTACTACACCTAACGACTCACCATGCAGGAGAAAGTACATCAAATTGGCAAGCTGAGTCCAGACCTATTGATGGTATTATTACTATAATTTAACCTTGTATTTGCAACTTCTGGTTTCTGATTTTAACTTGCTTTCACCTTTAATTTATTCATTTAATTTGTTGTGTTTTTAAATTTAATTGTGTTAGTTTGTCTATTTTATTTGTTTTGTTTATGTAACACATTATATAGCACCTAGTAGACTCAAAGCTCTTCAGTTGTCTGGATTGAGGCATTCATACACAATGTAAAACCTTCTCCTTTTTCTTGTAAAATATTCTGGTCGTGCTACAAGGACCTGCATACTGTAGTGATTTATACTGCTCCTTATTTAAACCTGAATTTTAATTTATTTTTACATGTTTATCTTATGCTTTTAATGTGTACTGTGCTCTGGTCTCTTGGAAAGGTGCCTAATAAGTGATTAAATTATTATTATTTCATTCATATTGTGGAAGAAGTAAAACTACACTAATATTTTAATGTGTTGTTAATGTTTGTATTCAGATATTCCTGGAAGTCCTGTGATACCTCTAACTGTTGTCCCATCACATTCAACAAGGGAACAAGACAAGGAACACAGCAACCCAAAAAATGGAGATGGAGCAGATAGCGAGGAAGATGAAATAATACCTGGAACACCTCCTAGTAAGAAGGTATGCCAATAATAATATATCTTTGCAAGCAAGTACCCTTTGATAGGACACTATATCTATGTTTGTATATCTCTACCTATTATTATCAATGGATACCAGTATATGCCGAGAAAGGTAAGCAGATACATTTTGCAAGGAGGCGGCAGTCCCCCATATCATTGTAGTTTGGCCCAAACCCAAAGGAAAGCTGGGGTCCCAAGTTAAAAGAAGCCACTTCTAAGAGATTGGATTAAATGAGCTTAATATATATAAATTTATTTTTCTGCACTTTGTGAGACAATTGATAAAGTAGTACAAATATTATGAATTATTTCACTCAAATCATTTTTTTTTAATATTTGTTTTTGTAGTTCAAGTCATTGTTCTTTGGTTCATCACAAGTCTCCCAGTCTACTAACCAAGCGAGTTCACAGCCCCCTCCTGTGGTGCTTGCCGCGGACACTGACGATGAAGATTCAGATTAAAGATACCAAGTCGTAAACATTTTAGCAGGGGGGTTTAACAATATTCCAAGCACTGCCAAGGGTAACCATTCATTTCACTGGGTTGTGTGGGATAACAGTAATCGCTTTACTGAAGTTATTCTGGAGACCGAGGTCAGAAAATGTTGGGATTTTTTGTTCTTTAGATATCTTTTTTAAAAACTTGATTGCCAGTCTAGGACCAGAAATCCCAAAAAATAATAATAACGTGAAAGCAGGATATCTGAAATATTTAAAATCATATTTTTAAAAATTGTTATATTGTTTGGAGGATACTCTAAATATTGTTGGTCCTCCTGACAATGTCAGGAGCTTTGGAATATATGCTAAGTTTAGGCAATAAAAACGATATTTTAAAAAGAATGCTAAAAAAAATAATTTAATTACTATTTTAGGGGCTTGTGGAATTGAATGAAATAAATAATAAACATATTTATGTCATTGAGGCAGTCCCATGAAGTCACATGATCAATTTGATAAGCCCATATTCATCACGATATTGCCACTCAGATCTCTTGCAGCATGAAGGCTTACTTATATCTTCACTTGTCCACTGTGTTTTAGAATATTCTGCCATGGAGGAAGGAATTCACAATATGTGTGGTTAATTCTTATAGCCATTTACAAGCAAAAAAATTGTCAATCTATTGTACTGTACATATTTATTATTTTAGATTTCTAATAAATTATATCTTATGAATTGATAATGATATTGAGTTATTTTGTACTTCAAGTGACCTAACCAAATACTGTATACCTCAGTAATTAGGCATTAGATGGCACACAATTTCCATATTTTCCCATTTCCCAAAACATTTATATATAAAAAATAGGTACAGTATTTCTAATTATATCCAGTCACAAACCATTCTATCATGAAAACAGGAAATTTGTCCTTGCAAATGGGAAAAATTTATTAATTGCCAGTGCCTGGTACGGGTTTTCGTACGTGAAAATTTGTGCTGAGAATATTAATTCGCGCCACCATGAAAATCACCCTATCTCCTAACCATTGGCATTTCTTCAAAAACATTGACTGTTTTTACTACAAAAGCTGTAACTAAAAACTAGAGGTCGGATAAATTAGGATGGAACGGTAAGGTTATAAATGTAGCTAGTGCAAACAATTTACAATATATATTTTTTTTTAAATATTTCACCCCACCATTTTTGGGTTGAATTACGAAAATATACGCGATATTAGTGTTTTCAGCGGGATTTGAGCTGGCTTATGAGAAGTCGTTTCTTTACGACGTCATAACTTTGCCCACGCTAATCCCATTGCTTGGGTTGAAGCGGCAACAAAGAAAATTTTCTTGTGATCGATTATAAAGTACATAAAAATTAATCTGGTTGAATAAGATTTTTTTCTGTCATTTTTTAATTCTATCAAAGGCTTTCAATTTCAAGAAGAACTGCTCGGGCTCACAGCCGGCCCAGGAAGTTGGTGCGTTCCATTTTCTGAACTGAAGAAAATATGGTGCCTTCTGCATCAAAGACCTGTTAAAATTCATTATATGAATATGCTTGATAGTGGACATATCTTATTTCTACAGTGTTATTAATTAGGAATGTATTTACAGTAGTGTTTCACTAATTATTGATTGTTTAAATAAGTTCATTATATATACCGGTTTTGGATAATGAAATCTCCCAAATACTGCACTGTTCAGCGCGCTCAATCTGTTCATTTTTGTCTTTTTTACACAGGCGCAGTATTAAAAATGGTTTGTACATGGTCAAAACAACCTAAACAAATTGATATGTTGAATTCCTTCATTCATTTCTAAATTATTGTTACATATTCTTACAGAACAGTAATGTAATATCAATTTTATGATCAATTTAGAATTTTTGGGCACTGAATATTTACAAAAATCCATGTGTATTAAACTAATCAATAATTTAAACAAAAGCTGATTATGCTTGTGGTCATCTTTATTGTATATATCTCTTTACATCTTCTGTTATAATCAATAGCTCATTCATGGAATACAAAACAGAAAATTCAACCTCAAACAATGCTTATTTAAAACAGCCTTTTGAATTGCTAAATCAAAACATTTTCAAACACGCACACAACAAAATAAGCTTACAAAACAATCTAGTCATTTCATATCTAGGGGGTAGGTATTACAGTGCCTCTCCTAACTCCCAAGATATTGACTTGGCATCTCATAATATCCAAGATTCTGATTTTTCCTTTGTAAAGAGCAAAAAATTTACTTTTGCTACCATAAATCACATCAAAAATTCTAGGAACTTGCCTAAAACGAAATTGGGTATAGTCAAAAAATATATAGAACCACCTATAAAGTGTACGTAATCCCTTAATTAATTAAGCTTTTGGGTCTACTTCAAAGGCATTAAATGCAAACATTTAATGCCTTTTAGTATTTTGTAGTGTGCACACTACATTCCCAATAATCTACTCAAATGGCATTGGAACCACTAAAATGTTCAGAACAAATTATACAGACGAACACAAAGAGTATTAAATCTTATTTACTGTAGCACTTAACCAATCAGAGAGACGCCACTTTATCCGAAACTATAGACAGCTAGAAATGAAGAGCATGTTCAACTAATGGGATGGGCACTTTTTTTTGTGTGTCATAAATTATGTGTGAATAAAGTGTGTTGCTAAAAAACCTTAATTGTTTACACTCATGATGTCTCTATCTCAGTAACAAAATATGATAATTTTAATACACATGGGATGTATTGAAATTTGATAACTGCAATCGAGTATACAAAAATTAGCACACCACACTTTTTTTATAAGCTCAAGAACTAGGAATAACACAGATCAGTAAGATGTTAATTCTCAAGAGAAAAATATGTTGCTCTAGAATACTTTATTTAATATCTTTCTATTATAAGAAAAGGGCTGTCAGAATTTTATAATATTTAAGTTAACATCACATAATCCATCTGTCGAGATCTACCACTTCTCACTACTGTTGCCCTAATAAATAGTTTCATCAGTACCTGACATTACTGAACTGGTCAATGACTAATCTCTGACTTGTGCCTTACTGTCTAAGGGTTGTATTGGCTTATTGTCATTCTCTGGTGTCGTATGAAGGACTTTATCTTACAGTATACTCTACATTTGTTTTAATACATTGAGGAACCTTAAGACATCCTATGTCTATGTACATGACTCACAAATTATGAATTGGGGGGGGGGGGTGTAAAACATGTTTAAAGAGATACTAATACTAAGCCACATGAAAAACTAGCACCCAAAAACATTTTTTATTTGTTTAACAAAAAGTAAATATTTAAAGCTGCTAGGTTTCCTAGAATCTACTGGCGACATTGGCTGACAGTCACCCGGAAGGTTGAACCTGGTTCAACTTTGCCGACTGCATTGTAGACGAATCGGGGTGCCTTCCCGATTGCGCCAGGGCATCTAGCAATGTACCTGATTCGTCTGCAACGCAATCGGCAAAGTTGAACTAGGTTCAACCTTCCCGACAACTGTCGCCAATAGGGTGAGCGATTCTATGGAAACCGAGCTTAACACAATTATTAATTTATTTTTATTTAGAAAATATTTAAACTAAATGACAATGTTAACGAACCTGCACGAAATATTTAATTACCAATTGTTGATACACATATAAATGTTTGATTTATGAAATCAATTTGGTTCTGCAGACTCTCGCACTTTAATACACAACCAAACTACAGTAATTCTTAGATTCAACTAATGATAGTTATATTTGAAGTCAGAATTCTCACAGCATATTAATGACCAAAAACGGAAATAATAGATCATGTATACAAATATCAATTAATTTTTTTTTTCTTTTATTAAAGATCAAAAATGCTTTTTCCTAAAGGACAGCTGGTGTGCATAGATATAAATGCTGCTGCACTGACATAGCCAATTGAAGAAAACGTTTTCGGCATGGCATAGTATTAATGTAGGCTTAGAATTAATTTTGATACCAAGTTAAAGGAGAGCAGCATTTATGTATAGCCAACAGCACATAAGTATCATGACACCAAGTTTATGAGGCACTGGATAAAGTTACTAGCCTAGATTAACTTTTTTCATACTTTGATTGGTGATTGGCTGGTTAGGCTTTATGGATACCACAATAAATTTACATCCATGCATAAACATGTTTATGTGACCAAGTATATCATAGTTTTTCGGGAGTAAGACCACCCTGGGTATATGCCCACTTCAAAACTTGAACCTAAGTTTATGTTTAAGGGTTGGACTGAGAGAATACCAGTATTATTTATTTACTTTATTATTATTTAGGTGAATTTATTATTATTTTTTTTCACTTATTCTAATTTTCAATTGTAAAATATTATACAAAGTATACAATTCAAATACTTTTTATTTCATCACAAATAGTGGTAATCACATCAATACTACTAATTTGTGCTAACTATACCTGCTTGTAGAATCAACTAAAACTATTCAAATTCAATCAGTAATACATATACATCTCATTAGCATAATTATTTTGATTCTAATTTGTAATTATATTCAAATAAATTTTTCATTACTCTTACAACGTCAGAGGCTTAGCCCAAATTTGCTAATTAATCAACTATAAGACCAATTGAATTACTATTACACTATTTATCATACAACATAGAGCTACCATAAATTTTGGGGAGAGGGAGGGACTAATTATTATATAGTGTTTTTGGCCAGCCTGGTGGCATAATTAATGTCAAAATATTGAATCCCGACACGATGGCGTGTATTCCAATACTTGGAGTATGTATTATACTATCTTATCTGAGATTAATCAGTGGACCTTTGGGTTTCTGATTTCGAGCCAATTAAAATGTGTGGTGTGGCAAAAACATTTTTTTTTACTTACGACATAGCAAAGCCACACCCAAATCAGAATTTATTGTGAAAGATGGTTTTGTGCACAAAAAAAAAAACAGCTTAAACATTAGGCCATCTTCTTAACATTTAATATATTAGTTATTATGTTGGTAGACTTTGGTGTACAAAATACAACTACTAATTGAACACAATTTTTTGCTTATAAATTAATATATGCTCTAATAATAATAAAATAAGATTAAAATGCAATATGGGGCTTGCCATGCCAAAACCACCATTGGTGACCAAAACAAGAAAATTAACATCTTAATATGTTCATACTCTCCACTTTAAAATAATAGGTTATTTACAGGAATCGACTTACTTACTTACCAAAGTTAGCAGTAAATGTATTATGCTTCTACTGTATGTACTAAAGTATACAATACTGCTATTATGCAATACTGCTATTGTTCAGTTTAACATTTAGTGACAGTACGCTGGTTTTGAGATGGCAAGTCTCATATATTATAAATTCCATCACCTCAGCCTCATCGGATGTTGTGTACAAGGTGGCTACCCCTGAGTTTATAATGTTGAGTAAATAAAGTAAATACATTGTTAATTATTACAAAGGCCTGGACAGTAAGTATTCATCAATATGATGAATAGGAGGTGCGCAAAATACTGTTTAGTCTTTCATCCTTGAGGTCAGAGTTCGAATCCCACCCTACCCATTTTGCCAGTATCATGTCCCTCTCCACCCAGGAGTAAACAACTAGTCTGTGTGGATTCATGCACCAGGACTGGCGTAATCTTAAAGGAGTGGCGAAAAATGCACACTTTATAATCTGCTGATCATGGAACAAAAATTACTTAATTAACACACTTGTGTAAATGTAACAAATTGTTACATTTTGCTATATTTTTCTATGTGTGAATTGGGTATAAGGCGAACTAAACTTACTTGTAGATCAACATGCCGACTCATTGTGTGTAAGAAATTAAATCAAGGTAAATCAGGAGAACATCAGCGTCACAACTCTCTACAAAACTGACAAAATAAATCACTTAGTGACTAGTTAAGCTTTACAGGAACATGTCCTAGCCTGTTATGTGCTTCAATTGAGACATGGATACTACCGACTGATTTTCACCATCTGCTCTCTTAGTAAATGAATAATTATTCATTCGTATTGGGCCTGTAATACAGTAGGTACCTGTATACACATTAATATTTTATTTCATAGGTTAAATTCAAACATATTTCTTAATAAATGGTATGCTAATTTTATTCAAATCTTTGAGCTATGTAAACTAGAATTTGAAAAATAAACCAATTTAACTGATTTGTGTAACTACAGCAAAAAAGAGCACCTGAAATGAATGCCAAAATACCAAATGCCAATGGGGAAGGAATAGGATAAAAATATTCTCTGTACAATTGTAAAAATATATTACCTTGAACCATCCACACACACTATATATGGACAAAAAATGGGAACACTTTCTTTAAAAATACCCTATTTTAAAGTGTGTACAAGAAATTCCTTGTAATAATGTGGTATTATTATTTTTGATAATACAGTATTTATTTATGAATGTGTGTGTGTATGTGTGTCTGTGTATAGATGCATATGATTTGTGTGGATAATTGTTGAACTATTTTAATAACTGTAAACACATTTCTAAGAAAAAGGTAGGAACTGTTTCAATTATATTATAGATGAGGAATTAACACACTGGATACCACAACAACCACCACCACCATCGACAACCTATTATCTCTTCAGAAAGCACTACTGCAGCTTGATGGAGTGTCAGGTGCAGTCTCCACTAGAGCTTTCCAGTAAAAAGATGCCTGCCATCAAAACATGGTCTTTGAGTGTCTTCTGATGAAGGAATACACAAAGTATCTTCTACATAGCACTATTCAAGTAGAGTGATGCTACTACTCTTCTTATATGATTTTCCTCGTAAACTCTTAAATGCTCGACCTCAAGAACAGGTCTTTACAAATAAATTCTGATGATGAAAGAGTACACAAAATATCTTTTACACTGTGCCATTCAAGTACAACTTGTCATTGCGTTTTTTTGACTCTCATGGCAAGATTCAACCCTGAATCACTATGAGTTTACTATACAATCCTCATATTCATCTCCTTAATCAGTCATGGTATCACACAATAGGTTTGTGTGGGGTTTCATCAGTGCTTGTCATTTCAAAATGTCTTTTGTGGCGTGGTATTGATGTGCCTGCCACCAGGAACCTGCGCTATAAGGCTGATTCTTCGTATTCGTCTGGACAACGTACAGCTGATAAAAGAATTGTGATGTCATCTGGTTTACCACCTGTATGTAAATTAAAAATAAAAGTAAAACTGAAGTCAACATATATCTAAATCAATGGCACTAAAATCACAGAATAAGTATCATAAGGGCAGATCATGTGGCTCAGTGGTAAAGCTTTGTGCTTCAGATCACAAGAACTGGGGTTCAAGTCTCCTGTTAAATATACAGAACCCTTCTTTTGGACACCCCTATTAAGGAGACTAAACAAGGGAAAGTATATCTTTTAACTCTATGGCCAATCCCCATTCAGTGAACATCCATATTAAGAGGGCACTTTTTTTGGTCTTGAAGGTGTCCCAATAGGGGTGCTACTGTATATTTATATCCTTAGGCAAGACACTATACATGCTATCTCTTGAATGAAGTTTGAATACTAATGCTAATTTGACTTGATATACTACTGTATTCAAGATTTATTATTATTATTATTATTATTATTTATTATTTATTATTTATTATTATTATTATTATTATTATTATTATTATTATTCCAAAAGAGGATTAACATTCACACTTCACTAGAATTTATATTTGGCATTACATTAGTAAGACAAGGAGTAAAAAATAAGCGTAAATCGAAACAAACACTAACATATTCACGAATGTAATCTTTTTTTTCTGTAAAACTTATTCCTAAAAAATATATATAGCTTTCTAATTTAATGCATTATACCAAAAGTAAAAAGAAAATTACCTACATGAAAATTAATAGCATTTTTACTTACCCATGAAATCTAAGCCATTTTCTCTGGCATGCATTGCAAAAGGTGATAAATATGTTGGATCATAAGCTAGTTGCCTTGCTCTTTCTGCTATGGTGTTCACTGTCTTCTGGAGATTTTCTAACGTTTGATCCTGAGGACAGAATGCATGTGTATCAGTGCACTTTACTTTGAAAAACACAGTCAACATTTAAAGATCGGTGCCAGGATTTGGCTGAATGGGCGGTGGGGCGGGGAGATTTAAAAGGCTTATTTGATTGAGTCTCATCTTGTAAAAATGAAATATAATTTTTATTCTCTCTGAAGAATTGTGGTGTTGTGAGGTTCGGGAAGTAACACTAACAAACCCTGGATAGTGTTGAGCTGTGTGTTGAGTTACAGTATGTTAAGTTGATAAAGGTGAAGAATAAACAATTAATCATTTACTCGTTTGCAGTATAAAGTGTAATTGTGATGTAATATTAAAGCAAATATAGACCGGTCGTATATGAGGTGTAGGTGTCACTTTTTGCAGAATTTACCAGACCAACTTTTTCTAATGTATTTTTTGACGTAGATTACGAATCTGATTGTTGATCGGTCCGGGGAGGGGGATTTTTCGAGTATATTTATATCCTTGGGCAAGACACTATACATGCTATCTCTTGAATGAAGTTTGAATACTAATGCGCCGATTACTAGTAGCAACGCTGTGGACACCTTCCCTCAGGGAGTTGAATATGTGATTTGTAATCACTACTGCAGGTGTTTAATCTATTCACCAGGATGATAAGAATACAGAAGAGCATTTGACTCGATATACTACTGTATTCAAGATTTATTATTATTATTATTATTATTATTATTATTATTATTATTATTATTATTATTATTATTATTATTATTATTATTATTCCAAAAGAGGATTAACATTCACACTTCACTAGAATTTATATTTGGCATTACATTAGTAAGACAAGGAGTAAAAAATAAGCGTAAATCGAAACAAACACTAACATATTCACGAATGTAATCTTTTTTTTCTGTAAAACTTATTCCTAAAAAATATATATAGCTTTCTAATTTAATGCATTATACCAAAAGTAAAAAGAAAATTACCTACATGAAAATTAATAGCATTTTTACTTACCCATGAAATCTAAGCCATTTTCTCTGGCATGCATTGCAAAAGGTGATAAATATGTTGGATCATAAGCTAGTTGCCTTGCTCTTTCTGCTATGGTGTTCACTGTCTTCTGGAGATTTTCTAACGTTTGATCCTGAGGACAGAATGCATGTGTATCAGTGCACTTTACTTTGAAAAACACAGTCAACATTTAAAGATCGGTGCCAGGATTTGGCTGAATGGGCGGTGGGGCGGGGAGATTTAAAAGGCTTATTTGATTGAGTCTCATCTTGTAAAAATGAAATATAATTTTTATTCTCTCTGAAGTATTGTGGTGTTGTGAGGTTCGCGAAGTAACACTAACAAACCCTGGATAGTGTTGAGCTGTGTGTTGAGTTACAGTATGTTAAGTTGATAAAGGTGAAGAATAAAAAATTAATCATTTACTTGTTTGCAGTATAAAGTGTAATTGTGATTAAATTGTAATATTAAAGCAAATAATGATTGTTGAGGGAATGATACAAATACTACAGGAATCCTGTTCAAATATTTTAAGTGCAAAACAAATAATTCAATGGAAGATATTTCAAATTAACGATATGACAGGCCTACACTTGTAACATTAAAATAACATTTACAAAAAACTTGCCACCCACTTAACTAGTTCAATCCCTAATCACTTTGTAGGGTTGTGTAGTAAAGCACCCAGTACACTGTAGGGTTAAATTTAGTTCAATCATCCACAAACTAAATTACAGTACTCAGGAAGATATACTGTAGCAGGCAGGGTGTTTCTTCCTACTGTAAAATTAGACAGTAAAAACATCACATACAGTACTCACTCACTTCCTTTCAAGAAGGATTTACCTAATTTAAAGTTTAATATCTATACTAGTACATTCAAATAGGGAAACAAACCTATTCTGCTGTAATGGCAAACTTTACTTAACCTTCAGAAGCAGTGATGAGTCACCTAATACCGTACTTGTTTTTTAAAAATAATTTTACAGGATATTAGCATAAAAAACACTACTGTAAAAGATACTCAATGTACGTCCCTGGTTTCATGGAACAATATCAAATCTCAATTGCAAAAAAAAAACATACTGTACATGACAGTAAATATCAGTAATTTTAGCTATGTAGGGCCCCCTAGAGGTTTCACAAAATTAAGGGCTTTATACAGTAAATCTAGTATATTATTATTATTATTATTATTATTATTATTATTATTATTATTATTATCATTATTATTATTCCAATGTCTAAAGCTGTGTTCCAAATTGGATTAATTTTTACCAAGACCTCTGTCCTTTTACTGAGATTGTGGCTAAATAATCCCATATTGTAGTTACTGAATCCTTGTCTATGTTATAGCGTGAAGGAATATGTTGAGATAGAAAGCTCATTTGCATATGTTAGATTTGGTATAGTATTCACCAATATTTAGAAGATGGATTAATTATTCAGAAGACTTTTGCAGTTTTTAGTTGCATGTGAGACGTCATGAACTTAATTTGAAACAAGCATATGATTAGTATCTATGAATGGACTTCCTCGCTGAGGAGGATATGAATTATGGAAAGATCCTTGGTCTCTTGCACTTGCAACAATATAGGAATATAAGGATGGATCCAGAATTAAATAGTAAAAGTATATGTGAGGTCTCACCACAAAATTAGATGCATCCTTGGTGAAATCATATTGAGATATTCACCAAAATGGGTCAAAGTTTTTGATTTTAATATTCTCTTAATAATTACGGGTTACTTTATCTTTGGAAGCTGATCTTCTCAAAACCTGGTTCTCATACACCTTAAATTTTAAATGCTCATATCTCTGAATTTACCAAATTAAAGCTTATAATGTGATCTACCCACATAATATAAACTAAATTTTAATTTTTTTTTTTTTTTTTTTTTTACCATGAGACTCATTTTATGGTGATACCTTGCATATTTTTGAACAGTATGAGAGCCCATTGGTAGGCAAATTCTTTTCACTTTGGGGATCCAGGTACTCTATTTTGTTTATTATTGCTTTTTATATCATATCTTACTCTCAATAATTAATTTACATTTGGTTGTATGTGGGTTTTTTTTTTTTTTTTTTACAAAATTATGTACTATGGACTAACCAATAATAGTTGGTAGTTACGGAAAAATGTTATTATATAATACTAATAGCAGTATACTGTATGAGGCAAGAGAGTGACTAATATGCTTTAGATGTTACATATTCAATATAGGTTTAACAACTGTACAATATCCAATACTGTATTTACAACTACTGTTTACATGACCCTACAGTGTATACAGACTCATTACTAATGCAAACATTTGAATGCTATATTCAATACCATAAGCTCTGTATAACTCATTATAATGAGTTTGCATTTTCATAAGTTAAAATTACATTAACCTGTCAGTAACCACAGACCATAACGACAAACTCACCTGCAACTTTGACAGTTCTTTTAATATCATATTCTCTGACATATTATCAAACAGACCATCTGTGGCTATGAGAATCAGATCACCCTCCTGGACACACACCGATTTATTTGATGCAGATTCAGGGCTGAAAAAATACATTAACATTATCTGTACTGAACTTTTTTACTATCCATTTCAGCTATTTATGGCCACGACATACAGTGTAATTGATAATTGCTGTTAGTACTGTATGTTGTGCCAAAGATTAAAATGAAAATTGCTTTTTGAAAGAAGACAAGGTTGGCAATAAAAACTAATGAAGATCCTGGAAGTAATTTCATAAACTATTAACAGGAAACATTTGAATTAATAAACAAATGCGTCCATTTTGTTCATAAGTGGTTCACTGATGTTCGGATGTTGAAATCAGCTATGCAGTACATTATAATTAAGTGCAGGAAATGTAAGGTGATGGTGGCATAATTTATGATTAATGTTTCTATTTTTAACATGCATTTAAGAATGAACATGGAATAACTGATAATACAAAAACGGTGACATTATTTAGGTGTACTCCATTTTCAGATGAATTTTTAGGGCAGTTTTAAAATGGTTTTGTTATGTCCAAATTTATAACTGACAAAGAGAGATTTAATGTATTAATAGAAATTTTAAAGTAAACACTTATTATATAATTGAATGAGAACATATACATTATTGATTTAACTTTATTATTCAATAAATTACTGTCAAAGCATATTTGGTGTTCAATCTAAAAACTTCATGTTAGTGATCATATAATTTTAATGTACATGTAAATTATGACACTCATCTCCAAGACCTAAAGAGGGAGAATATGCCAAATATCTTTAATTTGAAGCAAAAAACAAGGAAATTTGAGGAAGTGGAATTTAAAGTATGTTACAGCATTGCAATGACTAGATTCAACTGGTTTTCCACATGTACAGTACTGCGTTTACCATAACTCATTCATCCCACAGTATCCTAAAATGTTTGTTGTCGGTTATTGCTGCGACTGTTGTTACGTTACCTGTCGGTCAGGACGGAACCTAGCCCTGGCGGTGGTATTGATAATTGGTAGGGTGTATTAAAATAGTGCTGTTGCTCGACAGATCTGCTAACGATCCTACCGCCTCGAACAATCATGAACCCGGAGTCGCCTAAATTTGAAGAGTGCACCATTTTGTTCTCATTATCCATGATAACAATACAGGCTGTACTTGACCCTTGAGGAAAGAAAAATATAAAACAGAAAAAAATATTTTTAAACAATGCAATACACCAATATTCGCAGACATTGACCTAAGGTACTGTATTTTTACACCAAACCCGAATTTTTGGATATTTTAGTCTACTGAACCAATTAAAAAATCAAATCAAACATCCATTAAGAATAGGGATGTTGGTGTCATGGAGGCTGGTATTCATTGCATCGAAAAAGCAGTCGAGTTCTGGAACCCCTGGTGGAGAACCCCTGGTTGCAGAAGCTGCAGCCAGGGCCTACGAAGCCCTCAGCGTGCGTGGCGCCTAGATTTGCTGGTCATAGCTCGGTAACGGCACAACACAGCAGAAAAAAGACAAATCCAAGCACATCAATGTGTAGTAAAGTACTGTATCCTTAAAAGTTAATCACTCCAGATTCGTTTTGTAGAGCAATCCAAGGCTTGTTGAACTGCAACACTTCCAAAAATCACTCGCTATAATTGAGGTACCTTATCTATAGTATGTGGTAACTTCAGGATCTTTCGAAAAAAGTCAGAGGAAGACACATGGTTACAGGATCGCTTGTGCTTGGCGCCAGGAGCCGACTATAGTTAAACTTGCCTACTGTAAATCGACTTTGCATTAAACTCAAATAATTTCTAAGTTGCTTGTGCTTGGCGCCAGGAGCCGAGAATATAGAAGCTTGCCTAAATCGACTTTGCCTATTAAACTCTGAGTTGATTATAACAATAAGTCAAATTTTATCTAAGTCGAAACAGTTTTTCATTGTCATTTTGGATTCAACTACTAGGCAGGTTCAATTGTTATTCCATTTATTTTTCGATAGGTATTCTCTTTTGGGTTTATCCAGATACAGTACTGTACTGTTGCACTGTAAAGCCCCTCTCCCACCTACTGTAGGTTGATTTCATGCAAGAGTCAAACAATTCTCCCGAGTTCAAAACTCCTGAAACTCGTGATTTAATTTGTTTGGAAAATGACCTCTATACAAGCTTACTACGTGTTAGCCACGAGTGAGGTATGACCTTACGGAGTTGGTTACGAGTTACTGTACAGTATGTACGAATAATGCCAAGCGAAGCAGAGTGTTAACTACGAGCTTTACAGGATTATTACAAACGTAACAAGTATTTTCCGAATTAAATATGAGTTAAGTACAAGCATTCTGATCAAATGTTCCTGGTGATCGTAACCAACTCAGTGCGCTCGTACATAACTCGTACTCGTTTCGGGGTGCTCGCACCAAACTCGTGGATTACAAAACTGCCAACGAGTATCCCGAGTAATGTACGAGTTACAGTAGGTAGGAGCACCCTAAGTACTCAACGAGTTACCTACGAATCCTTCGAGTTAACTACGAGTAAACTCGTAGCATTAAGTTTGAACATGTTCAAAATTAGCGCCACGACTTCAGAGCTGCTACGAGTACTCCCTGAGCTTCCCGAATCATCCTACGGGTTTTTGTCGAGTTTGCCGAGTTCAAACTCAGCAAACTCTTCTACCTCGTATGCTGAAAAAACCCTAGTGGGAGAGATGCTTACTGTATTCACAAAGTAGACTGACATACTGTATGTTACATGTTACATGTTACATGTTACTGTATGTTACATGTTACTGTCATGGTTGTTTATATCATATGCCTAGTATTAAAAAAACTGCATTAAGAACAAAAGTACTGATTATCGTTGCTTATTCTTTATCAATGCAGAATATTGTAGTTAGATTTTTGACTACTGTACAATACTGTACATTTATTGCCATGTAATATTGCAGTCTTTTATTATTTTTTATGTAACTTTAAAACAAATTATTAGGTATTCCAAATTTGTTTGAATTTTTAAATCTTATAAAAATTTAAATCTTATAAAAATGCCCACTAATCAATAATAATTTTTTCATTATAATTCAACTGTATACAGTATTATTTTTTTCATTTAGCATAATTCAAAAACAACGCTACAGTATTTCACATTTTAATGCATTAATAATTCAACAGTTATTAAATATTACTGTACATTAGATCCATTAGATCCTACCTACTGTAGACTTATGTATTTCAGAATTTTGTCAAATACAGATGGATTCATTCACAATTTTTTCAAGCTTGCATTGTTGCAACAATTTCTCATGGTTTATTATCAACGCATTAATTTTATAGTAATTATTACAGATTTTACTGTAGATACAATCTTTAAACTACTAAACACGATCTAGACTTAATTCCTATCACTGTTCTCAAATATTAGATGGACTTCTATTTCTCGCATATACTGTAATGGTTAACATAAATCACACATCACAATGTGAAAAATAACATTCACGTCTTCACTGATATAAACCTCTGACTAGCAGGCACTAATCTCACAACTGTACGGTACGGTAAATGATTTCATGATGCAAACTGCAGTCGAGTTAGCATTTTAATGGGCTCCCACCTAATGCATTCAATTTGCTGTTACTGTACTACTGTCAGTGTATTTGTAGCTATAAATGCAAGTGCACAAAATATGGAATACTCTCTCTGGTATTCAGGTTGGCAGTGACTTGTGATTGGCAATTCTTGTGGGATGAATGGCATGTTATGCCAAAGAAAACATACAGATAATTGAGCATTTATTTCAAGTGTAGATGGGATTGAGTGCAAAGTGAATAACAAGGATAAAAAAAAATCAGTCTCCATAAATTATACTTAATTGCTATTTTTCTTTTATTAAAGTAGTATTTTTTTTAAAACTGTTTCGTTCCTATCAGGATTTGAACTAAAGAAATACTGATTTCATTGGTTTGCCCTAACGTATACAGTATATTCGGCCTACAGTACAGTACTCGTTTGGACATTCCTGTGGACAACTTCTTTACTCAAGATACAATATTTCATACAGTAACACATACACTGTAGTACATGCATTCTCATTTTATGAAGGAGACACCCTCCCATACCCCACACTAGTGTTCACATCATTCTTACTGTACGACCAAATCAGCCAATCCTTTATCAATGTACCACAACAAAATTTAGGCTTTGAACAAATCTTAATATATAGCAATGCAATTATGCAGCAATTACGATTCTGCACACCTATTTTCCTAGCAATTTTCAACGCAAAATGAGCTGATATTTTAAGTATCCTCCGCGCAATTCAAAAACGTTCATGGCAAAGTAGATAAAGTCCAAAAATACCATACTGCATTATCGGTTGAATACAGTTTTTCAATGGATGAATAACACTCTTGGTGTATACAGTAATTTGTTTACAGTATTGAGGAAACGATTCAGCCATGCACATTCAGAAAGGGGTTCAAGAGGGATTAGAATTCCAAAGGGGTCACTCAAGACAGGAGTCATCTAGCCAAATGCCAGGCCAATCATTAGTAACTGCTTGTCTGGAGTGAATGGAGTCAAAAACAGTCAAATTTTGTGCAATAATTAAAATGAAGATTTGGTACCTTGATCATGAAACTCTTGAAATACAGTACTGTATCTAAAGTGGTAATAAATCTCAGGCAACTCAAAAAGCCATGTCTTTTTCTATAGTGTTGTGCTTTCTCGCTGCATTTGTTTATAATGTACTGTAGTACCCAGTTAATGTTATTATGGTATGATTACAGTACTACAGTATATGTATAAATCTATCATAATCAGTGGCGGCACCAATGGGAAATGGGGAGCCCAGGGAGGGGCTAGGCTTTCTATCGGGAGAGTATTTGAGAAATCAGCCTTCAAAAGTTTACGATTTCGGGCATTTCTTAGGCAGAAACCATCACCAAATTGTTAAAAATGTTTATTTTAACATTGAAAATGGGGAAAAAACAGCAAAGCTTAGCGCAATAAAATATATTTCCAAAAGTTTGACATTTCAGCTTGTTTTGGTCATTATCTACAAAACAGGATTTGCGACGAGTGACTGGTTTGGCTGGTCTTTGCCACATATTCAGTCTGGACCGTGAGTATTTCACTATTTGTTTGTTTACATTGAACATATGCGGTATTGATGTACTGTACTGTACTTTCACGAAAGCGTGATTTTCTCAGCTTTTGTGCGAGATTGTGTAAATCTCCAAAAGTGAGTCAGTCATTTTCATTTTACTGATGGGTCACATATTGCGATTAGAATAAAGTGTTCGGTACCATTGTAAAGAAAGATGTTTGTAGTTCTTGTAGTTTGTCAATCTGATCACATACTGTACGCACTCTCAACAAGCTTCGGAAAAGTGTTAAAACTCACTAAAAAGTCTGGTGGTGTCTGATATACTATTTTTTCAAACCCCTGGCGGTCAGAGTGTTAAGACACTAAATCGATATATCCTTTCAAATCCCTACAGTGCATTGTGAGAGCTTCTAAGAGCTTCACCCCTGAATCCCTCCCAAACACAAGGTTCTGGGCATCCCCTGGCTGCCTACAGCATTTAGACTCACCGTTGGAAAATCCTACAATACAACCTCAATCGTATGGAGAGGTCTCAGGATGTACTGTACGCATTTTGTAAAAACAGAGGTATACTGTTCAAGCTAAGCAAAACAGTAATTATGTAAAACAAACGTGCACAGGCTTGCACTGACTACTCAACACATTAATACAGTATATACAGTAGGTGATGAAACTGAAACTGGGATTAAATAGAGTAACTGCACATTCTTCAAAAAAAAAATAAATAAATAAATAAAATGGCAAAATGAAGGAAGTTATTCATCTCATTCAGGGCAATGTTAAACAAAAGTGTCTTTGTTTTCTGTCAGGAAGCAACACATAAATGTTAAAAGCAATAGAACGTCAGTTGCTATTTGACAGTGTTTCTTGTACTGTATAAAGTCCTGTCTACAGAAACAAATAATTTTAGGCAGAAGAATCCCCTCCCTGTGAACCCCCCACTGCCATAGAACTTGGACGCTCGTCGGAGAATATCTGGTGTCGCCACTGCAGTAGATTCTAAGTAAATCAAATCAATGGGGTGAATCATTATTATTATATAATGTCTTCCAGGATGCCCTGAAAAATAAATACTGGTTGTTAACATACCTGTATATCATCTCCAAAAAAATATACAGTAGAATTACATGTAAAACTATGCTCAATCTTTATAAAACTTTAATATTACCGGTTATGACGTACTGTTGCTGCATGTGGGCACCTACTGAAATTTCAAATATTTATAGACTAGAAAGGGTACAAAAAAAGGCAACTAGAATAATTATGTACAGAAAGGAAGGAAATTGGGACACGTCATATTTATATAGATTAAGGATTTTGAATATTTTAAGCATGGAGGATATTTTTAAAGTATATCGATTAACGTTAGGTTTTAAAATAATGCATGGACAATGTCCATTGTTGTTTAATAATCTTGTGAGATCAAGTGAAAGGTGTGAAGTGCGATTAATACATTGGAAAGCCAAGACTAATACATTTTTAAATTCATCTTTTGTTATTTTTCCTAGATTATGGGAACAACTTCCTAATGAAATTAAACAATGCACATCCATTTCGGACTTTAAAGCCCAGCTCACACAACACTTGATCTCAAAATATTAATAATAATAATAACTATTAATTATCTCTGTTTTTCATTTTGTTTTAGTTAAATCAATTTATTTTGAATTTACTTTTTTGTATATATTTATATTGTATTGTCATTGTATTTGTTTTTGATGATGGAGTAAGAGCAGATTACTGTTTGGGCTTATGCCTATTACTTTCTCCTGGCAAGAATATTGTATGTATACTTTTTACTCTGCCGAATAAATATTATTATTATTATTAAAACAAATTTTCTGTGACGCATGCAACTTACCAATTAATGGATATTTATTATGCATTAACTCTCTGTACCCCTTGGCTAAAACTGACACTGGCGAATCAGGATTGAAGTAGCCTTGTCTCACTATTGATTCGCAGGTCTTCATCAACTGGCATGGGAACTTGGATGGGTCAATGCCATAGTCTCTCCACCCTCCAACACCATCAGCTACACCTATTAATGAAAAAACAGACAACAATATGAGAAATAAAACCTGTGATACAGATATTTAACATATTCACTATTAATATACATTAATATAAATTAATGAGACACATTAATGCTAATAATATTATAAAATTAATATACGATATTCATATGTAATCTAGTCTGTAGGTTTGCAGTTCAAATGTACAGTAACATATACTGAAATGAGATAGAAAATTTATATTAACCATTAAAAAAATTACCTTCTTTGTGAGCAGTAAACTTATGTGGTCTTTTATTAATTGTGAAATAACCATTATACATATAATTACCAAATTACCAATAAACTTCAGCCAAGAAGAGTACCTTAAATTTGAAACAAGATGACTGGTCCAAGTACAATTACAAAATGCAAATGGGAAAAATATGAATAATACTGTAGGAATGCTATAGCTTCAGTAATACAACATAGTTTCACAGTAAATTCATCCCCAAAAACATGGTGGTGTGTCACAATATGATAAAGGAATGGCAACACTATGGGATTCCAAACAGTTAATTAAAGATAGCGATGAATATGCAATTGAAATTCAAGCCTGTTCTCACTCTTTCACATGTAATGAGTAACTAATTCAGATCCCAGTAGGGAAAATGTCAAGTACTGTACTGAGACCTGCAATGTGATATCATGAGAGATCAGCAATCTTTAGATGATTGGTAATAATAGATAAGAAACAGATTAATTATTATTGCACTTTACCTGACAGTACAGTATGACACACTTTACTACAAGTTCTACAGTATCAGACACAGACCGTATCAATGTGTTATTTAAGGGATCACAAATTAAAAACTAATTTGCTTTTCTTTTTTTAGCCAAAAAAAGGTGTTTAAATGTGATTCAGATCGAAATCATTGTGCAGGCTCAAAACAAAAGCAATATTTTACAACTAGCATGTATAGTAAAGTTGACAATAGACCTCAGTGTTTTTATGACATCATTTCTCCTTGACCATCAAGCTCAAGTCTATTGTACAGGTACCTACAGTATACACTACCAGCACAGGTACTGTACCTGTCTACTGTACAGGTTTTAACAGTATGGTGCATTTCTGCAAATAGCCAAAAATTATTTATTACCCAGGTCAAGAATAAAAAGCAAACAGTTGTATCCTGGTGTTGAGGGTTTTATTAGGGGAAATTATAATCGGGTTGATCTATCTACAGAAAAAACCCTGATTTTTAGTAATTAAGTTGATGATGCTTTTATGAAATAGAGTTGTTTTGGTAAGACTGACCCTTGGTGAAAGTTATACTGTATAATTATTATAAATAGAAAATCAAGTAACATACTGTAGACAATTTACGTAGCTCTTATTCGAGTCCATCCTTAACAATAAAAAACAAAATGAATAGATCATTCAAGTTAAAAAAAAAAATTTTTTTTAAAGAACTCCCTTTCCTGATTTGTAAGTGTCCGGTTTTCATAAATTACAATTCCATGGCAACAGCAAGCTGCAATAGGCCCCTTGCAAAGTTTACATCATGGTTTATCTGAAATGCTGGTGGGGCCCTACCCTGGTAGGCAGAAGATTCACGTAGTACAGTACAGTATATGAGAAATGCAGCGGAAATCAGCATGCTGATTATCTTTTATTTTGTTGTACCACAAATATGAAAGCTACATGAATGAAATTCACATAACAGTATCATACTGTAGTTATATATACAGTATTATGCTGCCAGCGCCCTACCAGGGTAGGGTGCTGCCAGCACTTCAGATGCCAATGTAAATATTGCAAGGGATCTATTCTTAAAAAAAGAATGAGGTGGTACTGTACAGCAAAAACATAATTTCAATGTCTCAACATGCAAGAAACCCCTCCTCCTGAACAGATCAATCCTACAAATTTCTGCTATTTACAAATCGACAGGAGAAAGTTCAAGTGTTTACAGTATTTCTAAAGGGTGGATGTGACCAGCTGTCCTCATAAGTTACTCTACACATGGAGAAAAATTACAGTATTTTCTCCATGCTCTACGATACTACTGGATATTAACATCTTATACAATCATGATTTATGAAATACTGTAAATTATCACCACTGGTCTCAAATGTGGGCGAACCAAGGAGAATATGGTCAGTGTTAAAGTTGCAGGTCATTACCTAAAAATCCAATCATTATTGGCACACACTGTACAAAAAATACAGTATACTGAAAAAATATTAAATGAACCTACTGTAATCATTTTTTAAAGTAAAAAATTCAAAAAATACAAGTCTCCCTCTAATTAAAGGCCCTACAAATTAAATACCACATCTAATTTAATACCACCTCCAATCAAAGACCACTTTTCTGTGGTCCCAAATGTCTTTTATCTTTATTCTTATTAGAGCAAAAGTCCATGAAAACCCCAGTCCCAGGTTTTCTATAATTTGAGGGGAACCTGCATTGAATATGGAATTAAAGTTTCAAAATATTCTCTATTCTATGTATAGAATAGTTTGCCTTAAACTGATGCAAGCCAATTCACATTGAAGATGGTAATGAGGATTCAAAACCATGCATCACATAAATAAATTATACACAATTATGATTTCCCTGAATACAAAACAAAATAGGTTACAAACAGTACTGAAAAGTGATCTAAAATTTTGTTTAAATGAGATGGTTGGTATTGCAAGTCATGAATAATAACTGTATAAAAACTGAATTTTTGTAACGATGAATGTAGACATTGAAAATATAGTACCAATGTATTATTATTTATAAGCAAGATTCAAGTAACTTGTGATAATTCAACTTTAGTTACAACTCAGCAACATGATTTTATTTCAGTTCATGTCATTTCATATTCATATTACAGTAGTTACTGTACAATCCAGGTGAGGAATTACAGTGCATCATAATTGTATATGGTAGTAATCAATACTGTTATCTGTGCCAACACACAACAATGGGCAATGTAGGAACGTGTTACAGATAGCAATATTAAAAATGTCACAACCTACTGTACAGTAGGTCTACAGTATGCAGGTGAAAGCATTCTGTACAGCAAAAGCAAAATGTCAAAATACCTCAATTAATGAAGTGTGGGAGTATGGTACACCGTACTGCGTACAAAATAATTAACTAGAAATATCTGTGACACTGAATCAAAATCATTGAATGGACAGTAACATTTTGATGAACACTAAGCCGTGCACTACAACTGGTTAAGTATCTACTGTATCAGGATTATGATAGGATTTTAGGGCAGAAATTCTACATTTGAATTCAAGGAGGGGGAGAGGGAGAATCAAGGAGGGAGAGAGGGAGAAGATACAAGGAGGGGGATGGGCATAAAGGATAAAAAAGAAAATGAGAGTGCCATTTCCAGTCATCTACTGTAGGTGCCAAAATCATAATTACAGTATGACCATCTGTTAGACAACGTCCCTCCCAGGGCTCCCTCTTGAATTCCTGGATCAGCCACAGGATGGAATACTGTACAAATACAGTATTTTAGTTATACCAGGAGGTATTATATAAACTTGGTATAATAAACAGTAGACATTTTCATCAGTACGATTATAGAGTATAAAAATCTGTGGCCTCATGGACCCACGTCATATTGATGATCATTAGAATTTCATGGTGACCTACTACAGTATATGACCACTTCGACATATACTGTACTGAAAACACTTCCTTTCTCCCAGACCAAGTGGCAAACTAATTTTTAGCTTCAATAAATTAGTGATTTATTATTTATCATTAAAAGATACACTATTAGCACATGTTGTTTTGATCCCAACAGGATATGTGTTAAATGTAAACCTGTCCAGTTTTTACTGTAGATTCAGTGCTTACTGTAGGATGTGGTCAAGGTCTCAAATATTTTCAACAAAGAAAGCCTAATCTTTCTTTTTGCACATCAATAGACTTTATAATGAGTATTCTGTACTACAGTCTGAATACATTTTTGTTTTCAATAGAAATGTCAAAGTTGACACGTTTGATAAACTGTATATACTGTAATAATAACCCAAGTTATTTATTAAAGACTTCACTTCAGCTTGAGTTTGACAATCAATATGCAGTGACAGTAGTTTTGTAATAAGAAAGACTGCCCTGGCTATGTCCAAACACAGCAGCTAACGGTAATAGCAGGGTCCAGATACAGTAAATATAACATACAGTACGCGCTCACCATTGCATTTCAGGGGTCCAAAGCCTCCCGGAACCCTCTGGAGCGGAAATTGGTATGGTCTAACCGCTCCCGCAAACAAGCAAAAATCTCCAGGAAATTCACTTACTGTACAGTATCTCCCGCAAATTCAGTAAAAAACTAATCTTTTTGTTTTATTTAAGCCTACTATAAACTTTGGTTGCCGATTATTTTTTGCATTCGGACAGTACCATTTCCGGCTTCTAAAGGTGCCTACTCTACAAAAATGGTATCACTTCAGCCCCAAACATGGGGCCTGAAGTGGGTGTGGCCCTTCGTTCGGTACCTACACTTTTTCCTCATATAATATATAGCGCCCCCAATGTCATTAAACAAATCTCTCGGAAATGGGTTCTTCCAACTTGGGACCCCTGGCGTTTATACAAGAAAATCCCCGATCCAGATATCAAGAAGATGATGAAGGGATCACTGGCCAATAGGAAACTGGAAAATGAGTATTATGTTTGGTTATTGATAGAAATGTGTGTACAGTATCCTGATCCCGGTTACAGTAGCTCCAGATCCAGATGCTGGGGGATCTTGTGAACCTTCAGTAACCTTTGACATCATCTTTTCTCCTGTACAGTATACAATTCTTACTTTGCATTGTGGATGGAAGCTTGATTTCTTAAGGTCATTTTCACCAATCTCTTTATTATTTAATTTTCTGCACATTTCTTGGTCAGCAAAATAGACTCCTTTCATCCAAGTACAAACAGCATGAAATCTGTGGATTATTTTAAGTGCTAACAGGAAATATTACAATTCCACTGTACTGTAAGCAGGAACACTGGTGCCAAGGGCCACTTTTACCGTGACGGCTGGCGGCTTGGCCTACTGTACTCAGCTTGGCATAGCCTAGTTGGGCCTGGTCTACCAATAGCAAATATTTTATTCTTCAAATCTATAGAATATTGCATTGAGTATTACGTTTGCTAAACAACTTATTGATTGAATTTACGTTGTTTTCATAAAGACATTCGATGGGGATTCCCAAAAAGGTCAGGCTAACGCATTGTCTATCAGGTGAAAATATCACTTACTGTACAACACGCGTACAGTATGTCATACATATTTATACCCTGCTGGAATATGGATGGTTCTAAGTTGCCCATAATGAATGCACATGGCTCTGCAAATACAGTACTTGAGATTCGGTTCCCCAAGATATCGTTTTTGTTTGTACTGCAACTTCCTGGTTACATACAATAAATTCATAAAATACCATAATTGCAGATTTGCTATTAAAGCCCCATTGCCAGAAAAAAATCTGATTTTTAACATACAGTACATGTTAAAGATTTATAAATATAATACAAAATTGCTAATTTAACTGAATTTAGACATGCCTAAACATGAAAAAAATGTAAAATAAGACTGAAATTTGATTTTTTGTTTTCCACACAAAAAATAAATGCAGATAAATTTTTTTATGTTTGATTTTGCGATAGGTCTACGAAGAAATATAGTAGGTGCTGAAAACATTAGCCTATCCAACACTGCTAGGCTACAGAGTAGGCCTAGCCTTACCTCGATTTAGGTACTGCTAATGCTATTACACATAAAAAACGGTAAACATGATATTTTCCGTTACCCCGCAAACCTCCAAAAAAACACCGCAAACCCCATCCAAACCTTGTGATAATGATTGAATCACATAGTATAGGACTCAGCTTGGTACCTCAATAAAAAAAAAATCATAATTTTATGTTCGTCACAACCTATTTTTGGGGTAAAAAGGCCATTTTTTGTATTAAAAAATTGCTAAACCACGCAAACCACCCAAAACACAGTGCAAACCCCATCCAAACCCTGTGATAGTGATTGAATCATGTAGTATAGGACTCACTTGGTATATCAGTAAAGAAAAATTATAATGTTAAATTCGTTACAACCTACGTTTTTGGGTAAAAACGCCATTTTTTGAGTAAAACATTGCTACAGTACTGTAAACCCTGCAAACCTCCGTAAACAACTGTGCAAACCCCAAACCCTGTGATAATGATTGAATCACATACTGTAAGTATAGGACTCAATTTGGTATCTCAATAAAAGAAATCTTAATTTTATGTTGTCACAATCTATTTTTGGGGTAAAAAGGCCATTTTTTTGTATAAAAAAACTGCTAAACCCCGCAAACCCCCCAAAACACAGTGCAAACCCCATCCAAACCCTGTGATAATGATTGAATTACATAGTATAGGACTCAATTTGGTATCTCAATAAAAAAAAATCATAATTTTATGTTCGTCACAACCTATTTTTGGGGTAAAAAGGCCATTTTTTGTATTAAAAAATTGCTAAACCCCCCAAAACACAATGCAAACCTCATCCAAACCCTGTGATAATGATTGAATCACATAGTATAGGACTCAATTTGGTATATCAGTAAAAAAAAAAATTCTAATGTTCCATTCATAACTACCTACTTTTTGGGTAAAAATGCCATTTTTTGTATAAAACATTGCTAAACCCCGCAAACCTCCAAAAACACAGTCCAAAACTCAGCCAAACCCTGTGATAATGATTGAATCACATAAGTATTGGAATCAATTTGATTTGCGGTGTTTTTTTTTTGGAGGTTTGCAGGGTATGCAGGGTTTAGCAATACCCATTAAACAAACATATCTCAGGCCTACTCGATCGATCAGTGTGCAAGATGCAAAGTACAAAAACTAATCTCATTAGAGAGGGCGCACTTTATTGACTGTATAAAGTATACATAAAAGCGAGAGCATTCCAGCGGATGTGATTTACAACCTCTGAATTTGCCTAGTAACGAAGAATTCGTCAAGAAAATGGTAATCTCCTATGAGAAATAGTCTGTATTTCTTTTTTTTTTATTCTTTTGCGTAAAACTAACATTTTTCCATGGTTTATAATAATTAGAGTAATGCATGCATTTTTTCTAAAAAGCTGCCGCTACGAGACACGTTATTTGTCTTCCATTTTGGACGGCCTACAGTATTTGGTTTTTCTGGCTAAACCCCTCCCAGGTGCTGATAATTTTAGTATTGTCATGGACGAAATAATGGCGAATAGCCTAGCATACCTAAAGCAAACACATTTTAACAGTAAAATGTAGAACAATAAGTCCATCACTAACAAAAGATTCATCTTTAAATTCTGGTCTAAAGCAAGATCTGTCTTTCTTCACAAAGGATGCACAGTTAAGACACAACTAAAGACCAATTTCCTGATTGATTCATCTTCATTCATAGGAAATCTGTTTATTTGGAAAGTAACCCATACGTTTTAGACAAGGAGAAAAATAATTGCTTGGATGATGTCTACAGACTTACACTGACACCAGTAGCGTTATCATTGTAGAATTGTAGACTGTGTTGATACATTACCTATTAAATTTACAGTAGTTGATGATACATAAAATATTGCTTTAATAATAATTTTTGTCTGTTTGTGCACAAACCGCTGTAGAAAATCTATAAAAAATGTATACTTAAAATACAATCATCTAGGCTAATAGTACTAGACATTAACACATATGGAACACATACTCAACACCAAATTAAATGATTAAATTAAATTATTATTCCATAATATAATATTGCAGAGAAATCAGCGCAGTTGTGTTGGAACCTACTGTACCAGTACCAGGTACCCACTTGTACTCCTGGTGGGGAGAGGCAACCGTAGATAAAGTACAAGGACACAAGCGATTTGCATAGTAAGAGTTTCGAACCCCAACCTCGAGGTTGGGAGTCCAATCCAAGCTACAACCGATGCACCAACCGCTTCTTCTTCGGCCTAGAAGTACACGGCAGCTAATTGAGAATACAGTAATAATAGTAAAATGTTATCAATATCAGAACTAGGCCTAGCTAGGAGGGCCTAAAAACAGTCAGGGTCATTATACTTTGAAATATTCATAAATATTGAACTATCTAGTCCTAGGTCTAATCTATTTGTAGCCTGTTGATTAATCTAACAAAATCAATAGACAAGATTCGTTGCCAATTATTTTTAATGATTATATCGAACGATTTATGGAATATCTGTCGTCATTAAATAACATACCTAAGACATCAACGCCTTTGTAGCTGGCAATAAACCATGCATCGTCCCCAAAGGTCCCGTTTTTTAAAACCTGGGGAGTAGCTACGTCTTCCAATTTTGAGAAGCCACACGAAGCGGTCACCAACTGCGTTTTTCGCCGACGGTGATAGTCAAGGCTGCTGCTAGCGTCATATGGTAAAGTTCCAAGTATTGCACGAACCGCCTGGCGACCGTATACTAAAACTGACTGCATTTCCTTGATAATATATCCCTTGTTCACTGTTCACCATTAAAATATTCATCAAAATCCTTGCCTAATCTGTGTAAGTTTATATATAAATTTCTAACAGATTTGATTATACAACCATCAACAATAAAGCCCATTTTGCAGACAAATGGTCGTCGCATCAATGAGGCAATCCAAAACATTAGCGCTTGCGCACGAGGTACGTAATAGATATAGAGGGCGGACTTTTTTTAATCAAACAAATTTTTTGGGGGACTGTCCCTAAGGAATTTTAATTACCTCGTGATCTCATGTTCAGATATTGCATTTTTAAAACTTTGGTTCAAGTACCTTCTTTCTTACTAAGTTTATGCTTTTGTACAAACTGTATAGAATAGTGTGCCACTGATAACGAAAAGTTTAGTCGTTAATAAATAATTGATATGAATATAAACCAACTCGGATAATTATTGATAAGCATTCTTTATTCAAACTTAACAAATCAATGTGATTATCATGAATTGAAAATGTATACATAAATACTTTTTAATCGAAAATTCGTTAAAATAATATTGTATACATTTTTTCCACCAATTATTATTTCAATGATACATCCGATGACACATAGAAGTTTATGTTTTAGCTTTATCTCCGGACCCAGCGGTTTGTTTGTTATTTTGAACACCGTTTTCTGTCGTTTTCCCAACTTTTGATGCAACGGTTTCTTGACGTCTTTTTACAATCTTAACAGTCCTGCGCCTTAGTTCTTCCTCTGTCAGTGGTTGGACTTCACCAGTCCCATCAAGTATCGAACTGAGATCATCATCACTGTCGATGCTATCACTGACAGGGAAAACAAAAAAACATACGCTAGTGAGCTATAATTATTGTTAACCACTACAGAATGCTATTAACATCAACCTCAATGAATTCTACATTACAAAGGCAATAATTCTCGCCAGGATGAGAGAGTAACAATTACACACATAAGCTTCTTAGTTATAAAAATGAAGACAACCTTTCCATCACCTACGGTACCAGGCAAAACTAGCATTCCCCGAGACCCCACCCGGTCAGCCACGACACTCGTGACAATCTCGAGCGCCAAAAGTACAATTCAAGCATGCTTTATAGGTAGCAGTGGTGGCGCCAGCTCTTCCCCCACAGGGGGTTGCTACCCCCGACAGCGGGTTAATACTCCTGATAGGGGGACTAGTACCGCCGAAAGGGGACTAGTACCCTTGACAATGATTTTCTTTCAAATTAACCTTTTTTTTTAATAAAGAATCCCATAATTAACACAAAATGTTTTTTAATGAAAACATTCCCCGACAAATTTAATTTTTTGGTATTTAAGATGTGTATAAGAGACAGGCTCTAGGCTCTACCCGACAGAGGGTGTGGAATTCCTGGCGCCGCCCCTGCCAAAAACTGCCCAGTTTCTCTAGTAGCCACTGGATTCTGCCGGCCCCTCTACCGGATAATTTCAAATCCCCTTTCGGACAGCTTCATGGGGGTCGGAACAGATTGGCCTACGAATTATAGCATCAGCTTCGTAACTGCCTTCAAAATAGATCATGGAAAGAGTAATAAGTCGTCCTAATCAGAAGTAAGCAAGATTGCTGTGACGTAATGAAAATATGACGTCATACATACTCAAGCGATGGCGGAACGATACTGACGTCGATCTGTGGACGACTTATTAACTTGGCGTTGCAAATGCTACTAGTCTGCTGAGCCTGTGCAGCTGCTGCCTCTTGCTTAGTTTTCTCAGTCGACTTATAAAAAAAAATAGAAACGCATAAGAAGGATGTGAAAATACAACTGTTCATTAATCGTCCATCATCACTACCCAACCATCCCGAAGCAGAATGTTTGATGCGCAAATTGTGTGCGCTGGTGACGTCATACCTTATATTGCAGGTAGCTCTGGGAGAGCAGCAGATCGCTGACTTTCTGTTCGATACTGCCTAAGTACAACATGACGTTTTTGTCGCTGATTCCAGCTACTGAACCCAACATCTCGGTAATCGTGGATTCATCACACTCTGCCTTGCGAAACAGGCTCAAAATGGCACTTTTCATCTGGCCCAAAGACTTGTTCAAGTGTTTTAATTTCGTTTCACTGGCGTCGCCCTCTTTTGTTTTCTCGGTACATTTAGCCTAACGAGGATGGAAAATGCAAAGTTATTAGGTTGGCTAACTCTCTAGATATAGATAATAATCATGTTTCTAAATCATCATCACAATGCATTCAAATAGGCTTACGCCCTCATCAATATTCGTGATAAAATGAGCAGTTCCTTTTCCGGAAACATTGTCTTATCTATCGGAGCATACATTATGGAAGCACTGACGGTAGTTTGTTAATCCTTATTATGATTTTAATAGAGCAAAATCCATTTTACTCGAGAGAAAAATTGATGATACCTGACAGTAGGTTACAATGTGCAATTTCAATCATTGAAAGGCCTTACTGTACTGTATACTGTTTATTTTCAGAGCTTCAGAGTGGATGTTTTTTTTTTCTTCTGTTTATCGTAACATTAAATACATGTCATTGTAGGGCCTACCGTATTGTTTGTTTTTTTTTTCATAATGTTTTTATATTGTTATGTGAAATAAATTGAAAAAAAAAGAATGGGGATCGGGACAGATCGACCAACGTATAGAGACGATATATAACTTAGTCACAGCCTTTAAAAATTTAATAGATCAAGGAATGATCGATTAAGGAATGATCAAGAAGACGTCCAACTCAGAAGCAAGATTACCGTGACGTATTGAAAACATGACGTCATAAATACTCAAGCGATGGTGGGAGGATATTGACGTCGATTTGTGGACGATTTATGACCTTGCCGTTGCAATATTGTTACTAAGCTGGTGACGCGGTCCTTATGCATTTAAGATTCCGAAACTGCTTTATGTATTTTATTATTTTGTGTGAACATTTTCTTTGACCGAATTTATATGATACAAAAGAAATTCAACCAACGACTTAAAAATCGAAGCGGGCTATATACAAAAATAGGATCATAATCCGTTGCTGATCGTGATTTTTTTTTCACTTACTTCTAAATCCTTCATTATGGCATGCCTATTTTTATCAAGTTTCATGCCTTGTTTTTTGAAGCTGGCAATGTCTTGCTCAATGCCGTGGATTTGATCTTGAAGCATCTCTACTTCGTTGTTCAGTTCGTTGACGTAGTTGAACAGCGCAAAATTCTTGTTTTCGTTGTCTATGAATTTGCGCACTAACGCGTCCAGATCTTTTTCTCCCGTTACCTCTTTTATTCTCTCAAATATGGCATCTAACGATTTCATCTCTTCTTCGTGAATTCTTGTGTTTGATTTTTCATCGTCTGGTAATAATAAGAAATGAAAAAGACACAAAAGGTGAAGCACAATTTTTGTAAACGTATTGACCAACACATTTTTGAGATTGTTTTGGTGTTTAATGCGATATTAGGGAGGTTTCGCAACCTTACGAAACGATAACGAATACGAATACGTCATTATCATTATTCGTGCCTCAAAAATTCTTCAAAATAATGTTGTGCGAGCTGAATATGATCCTTGATTCATGCAAAAGATACGAATCACCGCGTTGTGACACATACCGAAGTTGATGACGTAACCATATTCGTTATCGTTTGCGAAAGCTTGCGAAAATTCCCTAATACATTTGTGTTACGTTAAGTATTTTTCACCTTTCTTTTTGCATTTGGCTGCTTCAATGGCTTTTATTTCGATCCTTTCCTGTGCCTTGATGGCCATGAATTCTTTCAGCTTTCTGTCGTGGTCGATGATTCGATGCAGCTCCTTAAGTTCTAGGTTGTACTGTGCTTGCTCCTTCTCGCTCCTGTCACGCAGTGCCATCATCTTTGTCTGTGCTTCATCCCTTAATGTTGACATAATCAATCAGATTTAAGAAGAACCGGCATGACGAATGCAAGATATATAGATCTATGCTCTTATACATTCTGCACCTTAGATTATGTACTTGAAATTAGGCTACTTAAAACGCATTTTTATACTATCATCATCATCATCATCATCATCATCATCATCGCCATTACCGTCGTTGTCATCATTATCGGCATCATCATCATCGTCGTTGTCATTACGGAGATTTCGCAACCTTACGAAAACAATAACGATTACGAATACGTCATCTTCATTATTGCAGTCATTCTTGCCTAAAAAATCTTGACAGTACATAAACGAGCTGAATTTGATTGATGTAAAAGACATGGAAGGCCTACGTCGTGGTAGAGGATTGACCAAATAATTTGATGACTAATCGTATTCATTATCGCTTTCGTAAGCTTGCGAAATCTTCCCAATACCACCATTACCATAACCACCCTCGTTACCACCACAATAGTAATTTGATTTTTTTGACTAGTACTAGGTCTATATATAGTATATTAAGATGAGCATAGAAATCTCCACCACAGGCTGGCCAACGAGGTACGGATAACTCCGTAATGGTTACCTGGCATCGTAAGCTGCAGTTGACTGCTGAATAACGTCATTCATCTCTCGCTTGATATGTTGTTGCTCCTTTAACAGTTTTTTGTACAGCGATTCAAATATATGACGGTCCTGTGTTAAGTGGTCAATACTGCAACGAAGCTCTGCATTTGAACCCAGCATCTCGTTAAACCCGACAGTTGCCTACGTTATCGATAAATATGTATAAAATAATTAAAGTGACATTCTTTTTTTGACTAGGGTCTGCGCAAAGGCAATCAGCAGAAAGCATCACAAAGCGGAGGCCGATTTCATCTAGGTATTTTATCCTGGGGACAGAATTCCCTAAAGGGGTGGGGGTAAAATCAGTATTGATACAGGCTAGGTGTGGGAGAGGTACGAATTTATTTAGAGCCGAAATAAATGGCATCGACCTCCAGGGCTCCGTTCCGGGCCAACGGACCTAATGCCCAAGTATGATTGCATTAAATTTATCACCGGTTGATTCCTACTACTTGATCATGGCTATTACCTTATAGAGCCGATTCTCTAGAATTCGAAGACGTTTATGTGTCGAGATGTGGCGTGCTTGACTGCGGCTGCAGCTCCCTAAATTTTTGTATTGCTCATTTACTTTTGTCTCTATGGTTAAAATCTGTAAAACAAGTTGTATAATTAATTCTTTTGGCAAAAACAATAGAAGGAAAATATATATTAGAATCTCTGGGGCCTCAATGCGAATAAGGCTTGGTTCAGACACGGTGACGTAAACGCAAAGCCGTCATACTTGCGTTTTTGTCAACCCGTCAAACTAGCTCTAGCTAGTGTGAACCAAAATTAAAACAGACATCCATGGACACGTCTGTACAATACCCATACTTTTATTATATATAAAGGCTACGTTCAGACCTGATAGATTCGCCATGCACGTGTTCACACCACTCAATTAAAGTTACTGGTAGGCTCGTTGTGTCTGAACAGCCTTATAAAGCCTGGCACTCACTGCACCCGCGATGGCCGTTGGCCGACGCGATTAGGGAGCTTTCGGTGCGACGATGTGACGCTAGAACGGAATCACTTATGCGTGACCGTCCTACGTGGCGTCCCACGTTAATTCTTTGCATACATAGAATTGGCCAAATTGCGTTCCAGAATCTACTTGACGAGGAGACCTTAACGTTCTCGCATGTGCAGATGACTTTTAGTGACGTCATTACGTTTTACGTCCTACCGTCATCGTGCAATCGAAAGCTCCCCTCCATGGACAACGCAACGCCATTACACGTGTTCGCAACGGATCGTTTTTTATGACGACCCGTTCAGACTGCAATCAGCAGACGGGCGTTGGGTCGTCTACTAACACTCACGCGGAGAAGAGTTGGATTCGTCGTGCGAGTGCGACCGTCGTCCGACGCAGTGAATGCCCGGATTAACGCGCCACATTACTGCGATAACTTCAAAGACAAGACCCTATTACAGACCTCTTTGTCTAATTCCTTAATAGACTTCTTCTCCATCTCTATCAAATTCAAATATTCATCATGATCGTCTACAAGCGAATGTATCTTTTCGGAATACGCTCTGTCTTTCTTTTCGTTAGTAACACTACTTGCTAGCTGTAAGTTAGTCTCAATCTCCTTGCTTTCCTCTTTCAGCGACTCAAGGTGAACCCTTGATATCGTTATCAGCAAATATAAAAAAAAATTTATTAATCAATCAATTAATTAATTAATAAATCGATCTATCAATTACCGTAGGCCCTATCTACTTAATAATTCGAAATGTAGTTAGGTCTATGCCTTTTAGGCCTAGTTGGTATTTACATAGGGCCTAGGCCTATGCAAAGTAAAATAATCATCAATTACTTTTGTTTTCTGACTAGATTTTGTGATTCTTCAAAGTAAGCCTTCCTGTCATTCTCCAGTAGCCTGTACTGCCGCTGCAGACGAGATAGTTCAATCTCCGCCAAGCAATCATTATCTGGCTCGCTGATGTCAGACCTTCGGCTTCCAGGTCTATTCATGTTCTTTTCTAAAAGTCGATAATCATGATATTTTGCCAATAACACTTATACATAATAATTTTATTATCGATAAACCTTTACTAGTCACGCACACGGTCTATCCAGGAGCCTATACAAACACCTGATGATGCAAAGTAAATATATATCATTAAAACTTTTTTCAAGTTTTAGACAATTATCAAAATGTATTACTTATGTTTTAAATAAAACTTTTATTCAACGTAAATTTGCTCCAAATTGTTTTAAATTTTTATCAATTTTATGAGTTTCCCGTAATTTGTATGTTGATTTTGACCGAATGGATGAATGACTGATTGACGGAATTAAATTTTCCATCTAGTAACGTATTGTTTCCTATTAAAACCCCATTCCCGGCAAGTTTTCAGTTAAGAAAAATCTGATTTTTATATTATGTTATAAAGATTTATAAATGTAATACGAAATTGCTAATTTAACTGAATTTAGACATTCCTAAACATGAAAAAATGTAAAAAAAGACTGAAATTTGATTTTTTTTAATTTATTTTTTTTTTGTACACAAAACTAAATGCGGATGGATTGTTCATGTTTGATTTTGCGATAGGTCTGCGAAGAAATATAGTAGGCCAACACTGCAGGCTAGGCCTAGCCTTACCTCGATTTAGGTTCTGTTATCAGACTCATAAAAACGGCCGAGATATTTTCCGTTGCTAGACTTATTGACACTTGTGAAATATAATATAACAAATCTGTTAACAAAATTATTCTGACCGAGATTTTGACAATTAAACAAACATATCTCAGCATCAGGCGTACTTGAACGATCTTAGTGTGGGAGATTTTATTTTTATTACAGATGGCGCACTTTATTGACTGTAAAAAAATGTATACATAAAAGCGAGAGCATTCCAGCAGATGCGATCTACAACCTTTGATTTTGCCTAGGCCTAGTAACGAAGAATTCGTCGAGAAAATGGTACTGTAATCTCCTGTGAGAAATAGTCTGTATTTCTCTCTTTTTTTATTCTTTTGCGTAAAACTAAAATTTATGTTCAATTCAATATTTTTCCATTGTTTATAATAAATAGAGTAATGCATATGCATTTTTTCTATTAAAAAAAATCTTTTTTAATAAAATTTTGCCGGGAATGGGGCTTTAAATTAGCCAGACCCTATGCCTATATTATAGGCCTAGGCCAACAAACTCATAGTCTATCAAGTAGTAGTAAGCTAGATATTGTAAGTAAAGATTGTTTTGTATTACTACTATTGCATACCCTTCACCATCATCGTGCTATATTATTAAGTGATAACGAAGATAAATAATAAAAACGCACAATGATGTAACAGTTAAATTACTACAATCTAATTAGGAAAAACTTACGATGAAATTTTCAAAACGAATTTTTTAGTAGTACTTTAGTACTACCAAATACCTGGACATGTGTATTGTTTCAAAACACTGAATGTTATTGTCGTTGCTACGGCTTAATTCTTCACTTCCGTTTACTGGCACAGTTTTTCAACTTCCGTACGCGCGCGTTGTTTCTATACGCGTGTCCACAATGTTTACGTCATACCCGATAGAAATAGAATCCACATGGTTACGTCACACTGTATACCCAGTGAAAACCAATGAATCTGTTTTGGAGTTATTGCAAGGCAATTCATCAGAAGACAACAAAAAGACGCACATCTCGGGACATGGTTATAACCATGGAGGTATTATTGAGAAGGAGATCACTCGGCAACAGATCCCTTTGACGCGACAAACCTATGTGTTCCCCGCTTTTGGATCGCGCGCGGGCGTATTACCCTATAATTCACATTTTTTCGT